ATTAATAAATATAATTATTGTTGAAGTGGCAACGCCATATTTATATCAAACCGTTACTCAGCAACGAGAGATATTGTTTTAAAAAGATTGAGTATTCTGAAGATTTTGCAGCTAGGAGTAGTATTAAAATTTTGCCACTTAAGAATAGTATTAAAATTTTGCCACTTAAGAATTGTATAAAATTTGTCTATCACCGAGAACTAAAAATAAAATTTATGTTCTACTAAGAAGATTGTCTGTTTTGTAAATTACTGCAAAATATATTACAATATATATATTTGAATTTAACAAATTTTCTCTATTTATATAAAGCAAATATAAAATTAAAATTTATTTTAGAAATTTTAATTGCAAAGAAAAAAATAAAAATAATTATTGCTCCGAAATAATTATTTTTATTTTTGAATTGAATGAAATTTAAAAAAAAACTGGGAATCTAAATGGTACTGCTAATTTAACTCACTAAAATTTGAAAAATTAAAATAACTATTGTTATTAAAACTGCAAGTTAAACTTTTAAACAAAGTTAAAAAAATTATTTAAGCATAAAAATATTTAAAAAAGAAACCAAACTATTTGAACTAAGTTACATTTGTAAAAAGTGAAATCAAACAAGTTAGTTAGCGCTAAAAGCCACTAAGTACTAACATGTTTCACAAGAAAAAAGTAAACTTAAATTAAATTTAAATAATTCTCTTGCGCCATTGCTGCAAGGAATGAAATTTGAATTTAACAAATATTCTCTATTTGTATAAAGCAAATATAAAATTAAAATTTAATTAAGAAATTTTAATTGTAAAGAAAAAGTAAAAATAGTTATTGCTGCGAACTAATTTACAATATCATTTAAATTCTAAGAGCGTATATAAATTAATTGCATGTATCTAAAACCATGAAAAAATATATTATTAACTTTACAAATTAGTCATTTGCTAGAATGACATATATGGAAATTTATGCGATTGAGACGATCCATTATAAAAGTAAAGAGGGAGCTGACCTACAATACAGTGAATTTTTAAAGTAAAAATTCTTAATTTTCAGACAGGAAAATTTAAAATCTGGGAATCTAAATGGTATTTCTAATTTAACTCACTAAAATTCGAAAATTTAAAATAACTATTGTTATTAAAAAAACTGCAAGTTAAACTTTTAAACAGAGTTTAAAAAAATTTTAGTTAAGCATAAAAATATTTAAAAGAAAACCAAAGTATTTGAACTAAGATACATTTGAAAAAAGTGAAATCAAACAAGGTAATTAGTGCTACAAGCTGCTAAGTACTAACAAAATTGTTTCACAAGAAAAGGTCAACTTAAATTAAATTTAAATAATTCTCTTGCGCCATTGCTGCAAGAAATGAAAACACACACACTCACCGAAGGTCCATTACATTATAACCCCTCTTTTAATAACATATAGGACTACCTTTAGCTCTCAAAACTGTCAGCACCCGACGTGGCATTGACTCCACAAGCTGCTAATACATAGTTCGAGTTATCTGGTACCAAGCGCTCACGTATCTGGTACCAAGCGCTCACGAACTGTTCTTGCAATTCCTGTTCCTGCAATCACGTATCTGGTACCAAGCGCTCACAAACTGCACACACATTGTGAGGGGGTAGCGTGGCAGCATAAATTTGATTTTCCAGGTGGAACCACAAATGCTTGTCAGATGAATTTGGAGACCAAGACATGACTTAAAAGTCTCTGGAATGTACCTTGAACATTTCCCTGACAATTCAACCCTTATGCAGATGATTTCTGTGTAACCCCCCCTGCCGAAAATTTTCAGATGGTGACTGTTGCGGTGTTAAAGTACAAACGTCAGGATTTCAGGTCTACAGTCTTCATGCTATAGTCTTTTTGAAATAAAAATAAAAGCCTTTTTTTTTTTTTTTTTGTTTTTTTTTTTTTTTTTTTTTTTTTCTTTTTTTTTTTTTTTTTTTTTTTTTTTTTTTTTTTTTTGTTTTTTTTTTTTTTTTTTTAATTTTTTTTTCCCGACAAAGCGAAATAATAACACATTCTTATTGACGTCGTGGTAATCGACTCCGAAATGCTCCCCCCCTTCCTTGCATAAGTAACTATGGTGCCGCGAGGTCGACGGGCCATCGTTCTTGTAAGAATTCGAAAGCAGTAGAAAATTCCGGTACATTCGGCATTCTTTTCCTCCCACCCAAATACTACACACGTTTGAATTTCTATCAAGATTTTAATAATTTGCATTCTCATTCCGCGTGGTAAGTTCATATTCGTGTTTATTATGATCGTTTATGCTTATATTATCAGCATATGTATGAATATTTATAATAGTATAGTTGCAGTAACTGCTGAAGTATAGATAAACTTCCAAAAATGGGTGTGTTTTACACAGATTAGTTTCTAAAGAATAATATTCGGAATGACTTAATAAAAGAAAGTAATCGAATAGTCAAAATAATTTCATTTTCTTTTGCCAATACATTATACAGTACGGAGGTTGGGAGTTTCTCCGCAAAATCTCTAATATTGAAGCAGCGGACTTTTTTTGGTCACTGTCCAATCTGGATTGAATAGGACTAAAAGTTTTTGCGGTCTACCCAACCCAAGCGAAGATTGATTCTATTCCGGAAATTTAATACAGTCTGTTGAAAATTAGAATCAGAAACACCCCAGATTAGTAAGTCTCTTTCTTTTCCTTTATTTAAATCTTTTTTCTCCGAATACCGGCAGGTGTTGATTCCGATTGCGTAATATCCCATATGGAAGAATTACGCCGCACGTATTGCGCAATAACGTTTGCGGTATTTTGCATTGATAATTAATTTTGATGTTTAGTCTGAGATTTGTTTATGCACACTGAAAAGAGTTTTACTGTGCTTTCTAAGCAGAATATTTCTCAGTTCCGTTGGTTTTTATATGATGCACATATCGAAATGTCAAAATAATTTATTTAGCTTAAATTTAAATCTAAAGAACAGCTACAATCTCCCCCACTCCTCTTTTTCCAGTTACTATCCGGAATATTCGGGAATTTCGAGTATGGGGGTTAGTTAAGCTTTTACTGTTAAAGGATGACTGAATGAAGCAATTTCCTGTCTTCTGATTTCAGAAATGTGCCTCTTTATTACTTAAATTACTTTGCTTGGGATATATGTTAAGGGAAAACTGTTATGCAATGAAAATTTAGAAAATGTTCAGAATTTCGATTTAAGTTAAATTATTTAAATATTAATATGAGTGGAAAAATAAATTGTATTTATTATTAGGTGCCAAACGAATACAATTAAAATGGCTTATTATTATTTATTTTCTATATTTTCAACTGAAATATCATCATTAAATTTTGTAATATAGTTTAGTTCTGCATAGTTTTTTTTTCCTCTCATTGTAAACTAATTCTGTAAATTGAACTGTCATTTAAAATTTAAAAAAAAAAAAAGTTAATTGTTTTCCATTCTTGAGGTAATGCTCATTCTCTTAATAAATATTGCATAGCTCATATTTTAAATTGCAAGTCTAATTTTTCTTTTAAGGTTGTGCAGTTGTGTATAATGTAATTAGACATGTGCTTATTTTTTTCTTAAAATGTGCTTGAAAAGTGCTTATAGGTGCTTATTTTTTTAACTAAAATGTGGCTATGAACCCTGGATTGTTCTATGGGGATTATAGGTCCTAATGTGCTTCATGAAAACATAGCCTACACCACAATACCCCGGCCACAAACTTGTCTCCATCAAACTGGGCATCTGGGAGCCAGGGTTTTTGTTTGGAAATAAGCATATTAGCACATGCCCATTGATTTGATGGGCCAGAAAACATGATTCGTTGCACCATGTAACTTTCTTCCATTCTTCTGATGTCCAGTTCCTATGTTTTTTGGCCCATTGCAGACGCAGCTGGCTATGACAGGCCATCAGTGCAGGAACATGCTTCGATCTCCGGCTGCGTAGGCCCATATGGAGCAATGTATGCTGTACAGTGTATTGAGAAACACTGTTTGGGCCTAGCTGGTAGTAAATTTCGGCTGTTGTAGCTCTTCGATCATGATGAACAATGCGTAGCAATCTCCACTCTCCTCTGGAATCAATGTGCCAGCAACAACACACTGCTGGCCGGTGACTTATTGTTTTGCCATTGATACACCATTTTCGATATGTGCTCAGAACAGCTGCAAGTGGACAGCCCACTAAACGGGCCATTTTTTATATTGATGTTCTGAGTCGCCAAGCCATAACGATTTGATGTTTATGAAAGTCTGATAAATCAGCTTCTCTTCCCATTGTATCGCTAATCACTCTATGTTTGGAAAGACAATGTATAAGGTATTTCTCCCGTCTTCTTAACGTGCCTTTATGATGTGGTGGTCTGCACACTCAGTGCATAGTTGATAGGTCTGCAATTCAATTCCCGGTGAAGGCAGGTGCTAATTTTTCATTTTGACTGCTTCCAAATAATCCTAATGTCTCTACAGTGGCGCCTGAACTAAAAGGGTGCTAGATGATGATTCTCCTCACCCAGGATTTGGCGATTGGGTCCCCTAAAAACCCCAGTCACCCTATTAGGGGAGTATATAAGGTATTTCTGCCACCTTCTTGGCATGCCTTCATTGTGGTCTGAACGCTGGCATATATTCCAGATGTCCGCAGTTCGATTCCCAGCGAAGGTGTTGCTAATTTTTCAATCTCTCTTCCAAAAAACCTAATGTCTCTACAAATGCATAGCTGCTTTATATACTCCAACATCAGCAGCACGTGTTCAGTGGTTTTGTTCCTGGGTGAGCCCATCGTTATAGATGGAGGGTAGTGATAATGCAGTGGCTCTTTGGTGTATATACGCACACCCACTAACTGATTTACTTTAGGTTTTATAACTTACTTTTCTGCTATTAGAAATGTGCTTTGTTTGCATAAAAACATTTTATAAATTTAAGTAATAGTATTTATAATTTATAATAAATGGTTATGAAGCCATTTACTTTTTGAAATTTGTATTTATTTATTTTTGTCTGTATTAATTCTAGACAAGTTCGGATGTTAAAACTGAAAAGTGTCCATATTGTAATGAAAACATTCCAGTTCTTAGATATCAAAACCATCTGTCATTTTGTTCAAAAATGGTGGAAGAATGTGAGTTGTGTGGGTTGGTTATTAAAGAAACTATGGAACTGCATTTGAAAAAATGCCCTGTAAAAAATGAATTTCTGTCCCACGACAAAGGTAATGATTTAAAATGTTAAGTTTTTATATTGTTATGAGGAATAATATATTTAATAAAATCTAAATTATTATATATGTATTTACACAGAAAGCAAAGCTTTTTGTACTTATTCCGATTTGTTGGTATCAAAAAATTGTTATCCTTCAAATTTGAATGTTATTTAACTTGCTTTAGGTTTTCTTGCTGAATGTCATCATCTTATTTTTTATGTACAGGGTCCGGTACCACACATTTAACTACCGAACAGCTGCAGCTGTGGTCACAAATGTGATGTCTAGGTGTAGTAAAGTGGCTATACGCTATCAAATGAGACCACTTGCAGCACCACCTGGAGGAAAACAGCAGAATTAGCATCCCTATTTCGAAAAGGGTAGGGGATACTAGAAAAAAGTGAATTGCAAAGTGCAACTGTGATACACAAAAATTTAATGAAAGGAGAAAAGATTATCTATCAAATGAAATACGAGCCCACATCATGGCACGGTGGTATCACTTGTAATTCACAATCAAGAGGACTGTGGTTCAAACCCTTATTGTCTTTGAAAATAGAGTAAACAGTATGCAGATCGAAAACAATCATGTTGCAAATGCGTCAATTCAATATAACATGAGCTTGGTACGTGAAATTTGTGCATTTTTTCTAATATTTTATGAAAAGTTACATCTTTTCTTCTGAGACAGCTATAAAAGAGATATTTTTTTGGGTTCGTATGTTAAGCTGGATGTTATGGAGCGATTTAAAAAAAAAATTATTATTGTGAGATGGTTCTACTTTATAGTGAATGTGAATGCAAGGCACGGTCACAGCGCAGTTGTATTAGCAGCTTTTTTCTGCAGACCTATATCCTTCAGACAAAACCATCCTACATATTGTGAAACGTTTAAGGGAGACAGGCTGCTTGACTAATCAATGTCGATCCGACAGACCATTTGAAGTACATCTGGAAGATGTCTAAATAAAGGTCTCACCAACATTCTTGGCAGATATAGTGTGGACATATGAGACATGCTTTTCATGGAATGAAATACACAGTAAACAGCACACTTATTACTGGGCACTAAAAAATCAATCATATTCTGCCAATGTTCAACATCAAATACAGTTTTTGATTAATTTTTTATGTGGAATTTACAATAACAGGCTAATTGGCCCAATATTTTACCAAGAAACATTAACGGTTAATGTTTAAAACTTCTACAAGACATTGATTTTATTGAGAACCTGCCGTTGCCTCAACTCCGGAATCGTTGCTTCCAAAATGAAGGTGCTCCTATGCAGAAGATATCATCAGTGAAGTAGTACCTGATGGAGGAATTCAGAGAACTAATAATTGGGTGTGGTGGTTTTGAAGAGTGGCTTCCATGTTCACCTCACCTGACTTTAGTAGTTTTTCCTGTGGGGATACAGCAGATGTATGCGACCCCTCATTGCAGACATTGCAGGACCTTTGACATATTACAAATGCTTGTGCAAACATGTCACAAGGTATGCTACAACATTTGCAGTCTGAAGATCTAACAAGGGTTCAGATGTGCACTGTACAAAAAAAGGTAGGGAGGGGGTGACAGTTCTATATCTCCCGTTCTACTCGGCCCATAGATAAAATTAAAATTGCCTTTTTTATGTCACAAAAGCGCAACCTAGGATATATATTAGATTTATATATAACATTGTCCTAACATAGTTATTTTGACACAACATCGGACTTTTTCTGAACTAACATACAAATTTTTTCATATTTCGATTCTACGACTCAAATTATGCCTAGATATTAAATTTTGTAAAACTGGTGCGAAATTTACGGAGAAATTCAAAAATTTATCTTGGCAAAATTTTTTCAGTTTGCGCCAAGAATAATTCACTTAGCGAACTTCTTAATATGTAGCAACCAATTTTCCTTTCCCTTCCATTATGCCAGAGCGGGGAAAAAAAGGCACCTTGTTCCTAGTTTTTACATTGCGCATGAGTGGAAAAAAAAGTTACATCGTTTCTACTTTCAAATAATTTTAGCAAAGTGTCTAAACCACATTTGACGTTTTATCGCTTTCAACAAATCTGCCAAATTTCAAAACGCGCCAATATATAAATTCACGTATATCTGAAAATTTTGAATAAAAAACTGTAATTTTTTGCAGATATGCTTAGAAATATGTCTACTTTAAGATGATGGTAAAATTTCTATAGATTATCATTCAAAAATGTTTTTGAAAAATTTATAAAAATTATTTAAAAATACAAACTTTAAAAATAAATCATAAAAATGAATGAATTTTATTTGGAATGAACCTGAGTTTCAAAATGTGAAAGGAAGAATCAAATAAGTTTCATAAAAAAAGAGAGATTAATAAATATATACCAAACACAATTCACATGGAGGAGCTAAAATTTTGCGAGCTAATTTTTTCAAAACCGTTTCCTGTTATTTTTAAAAACGTGGTAGTTTGGCGTAATTTGAGACGTAGAATCGAAATATGGGAAAAAATTGGTATGTTATTTCACAAAAAATCCGATTTTGTGTCAAAATATCTATATTAGATCGATGCTATATATAAATCTAATACATATTCTAAGTCTCGCTTTCAAGACATGAAAAATGCAATTTGAATTTTGTGAATCGGCCCAGTAGAACGGTAGATATAGAACTGTCCCCCCTTTTTTTTTGCGCTCTGTACATTTCATCTGGAGAAAAATTTGAACATTTGAAATAAAGGTATCTTGTGATAACTAGTTATTTTTTTCTTTTGAAATCGTTTTGTCACACCAAATTATTGGAAACAGCAAACAAATGAATCTGTATTTATAATATTCTGTTCTTAACATTCATCTCCATGAGGTGTCATTTCATACTAAATAGATGTTGCTGTACAATTTTGTAATTCTCTTTTTCCAACTATATCACACCGATAAGAAATGCTTAAACTCCACCATTTTCAACCAGTTGGCGTTGTAAGCCGTCTCATCTAGTAGTGCATAACCACTTTTAAGGCCAATCTTAGTGGGGTCCAAGATGGTGCACAGCACATGGGCAGCCAAATTTAAGGGCAGCAAAATTTTTATCAAGCATATAATCTGTAAAAAAGGGCGGCCAGTTTTAATTTGCACTTAGGCGGCCAACCATCTGAGATTAGTACTGCTCACTTAACTATACCTAGACACCATTTTTCTGACTATAGCTGCAGCTGTTTAGCAGTTAAATGAGTGGTACCGGACTTCAGTGGGCACCCTGTATATTTTATATTTAATCATAAGCTTTTATTTATTTATTCCTTTTAATTTAATGAATTACAATGTAATGTAATCTACTCCCTATGATACTGTCTTGAAAATAAGAAGTTTAGTTACAAGATTGAGTAAAAAGTAGCTGCAGTTTGAGATAGTCCTGAAAAGAATTTATTATGGTAGGTATAAATGCAAATCCCTCTATATAATTAATTGCCTGCTATATTCGTCACCTTCCGCCAAATTGCTGGAAGGCTTTATATGCAAACAGCACATTTTCTTATGTTGATGCTCTAAAGCATGGGCAACCTCTGCTCTTGTGTTGTAAATACATCACTCATAGATTAGAGGCTGAAGCAGGGTTGGCATCTGTTCCTCCAAGTCTAATGGTCTCCCACCCCTTTTCTTCTGCTACCAGCCTCTCAATACGATTTTGGCTTGCCATGTATTTAAGTGCCCCTTTCTTCAGAGACACAAACATTTATGCAAGTTCATATCTGGCCAGTATAACAGATATTCCAGTACTTCCTCTTGCCATCATTGCAGGAGGTTCTTGATAGCACTTGCATTGCCATGCATTATTGTGGAAGATATGCTGTCATCAGCAGATGTTGTGATTTTCTCCTGAGTGAATGCTGGATGTAGATGACGTCTCAGGTGACAAATTCTGTTGTCCTTCATAACAATGAGTGGTACTAATGTTGGGCATGGCCCAGCCCACCTAATCAGCTAAAGCTGGTCTTTTGATTTTATCGGGCCGATCTCATTTCCGTAATGAAGTATCTTTTGCAAAGGATCGATAACAACATTTCTCTAGATCCATTATTGTAGAGAGAAAGTTTGTTTTTGTGCCTTAGGATGGTCACTGTGAAGCATCGAGAAATGTACTTATCATTTGGCAGATAATTATAGTTATAGTACCTGCTGCTTATTAAAATCACTTCTGTTCAAAAATATTTGAGTTTATTAAACTGCTGAGTTTAACAAATAGCAGTCTTTGTATTTCAAATTGTGATATTAGCTTTATTGGTTGGCCAGTTGGCACTCATTTCTGTATCACTTTCATTGTTTCTGCAGCTTCTTTTAATATTTTTTATAATACTGTTATCATTTTTTGCATATGTTATTCCAAAATGATCATGATTTGCAGAGTATTCTAAATATGAATCGTCATATCTCACCACATTTCCTCCAGAATGTTGTTTATGACTTGCAACTCATCTAACACTCTGCTAAGTAAGAGCAGCATTTTCAGAAGAAATCTTTAAGTGTGTTTTGAGAGACTTCTCCCCTACATATGAATGTATTGACATGGACAAACATGGCTTTTAACAAAGATACTGACTTGGTTATTTTCTTTGAAGTACTTGCTGTTTCACAAGATTTAGTTTTACTTATCCTTTCTTGAATGAAATCTTTTCAGTAATGCTACTTGAAAACTTCTATAAATAAACTGCTTTTTGTGTATATTATTATTTTTCTATTTTATATATATGTGTATATATTCAGATATTTATATATATGTTTTTTATACTTTTATAAAATTTATCTTTAGGTGCTTCAAGTACAAACACTGATGAAAAGCTAAAATCATTTAATAATGAAGAATTTAAAGCTGGAAAAGTAATACTTTATTTTTCTCACTTAATTTCACAAATGATTGAGTTTTGGGATTAGTGATGACCAACTTATGACCGTAAAGCTGCATGCAATCTGTGAGGTCTTTTTCTGCAGTCCATTGTTAAAGTAACAATTTGTTAATATTGGTTGAATTTAAGAATATTTAAGAACACCCTAAGGCAATTTATAATTAATGATGTAAGAATCTTGAAGCTAGTGATGTTTATTATTCTGAGGCACATTGCTAAATATTTGCTAAAATAATGTAATATGTGGGCTGTGATCACAATAGATGACTTGATGCACAGAATGTCCTTGATGGTACAAAAGTTGGCTACCACTGTTCTAGATGATGGCAAATCTTTGATGTGTTTTAATCTTGCAAAATTTGTACATTTTAGCTTAGAAAGATTAAAGGTTAAAAGATCCTTTTCGAGTTAAAATGCATGCAAAATACCGTTGCCAATTATTAAGTGATATAATGCTATATTATAGTAAGAATTAATAACAACAAAAATATATGGATTATTTTTCAGTTGTCAGTACTTTATGAGAGTAATATTCAATACAGTTTTCAAAAAAGAAGCTAGAAATTGCTCTGCAGGAAATGTTTGACATGTAAAGTGGATCTTTTAATTTTCACATGAGTATGATTTTTTTTCTGCATTAAAACCACTAAATATATAGATAATTATTTTTTCCATCTGTATTTATATACCTAATATCTTATACTTCTATACATTAGCAATCATTTCAGGTTTTAAATCACTCCATCACAACTTTTAATAATGCTTTTACCTCTTGTGCTATAAGACAATATACTGTTATATAAATAATATGTTATATACAGGGTGTTTCATAGATCATGGGAGAAACTTGGAGTGGTGGTAGAGCGTACTAAAGCATGCATTTTTTGTATAGGAATGTATTGTCTAACGTGACGAGTTAAGGCAGGAACACACACAAAAAAAAAAAAAAAAAAAAAAAAAAAAAAACAGTAACATGAGAGGAAAATGTGTTTATGTACAAAATCAGCGCAAAGTGCTTCTTTGCAGCAATACAGTATTCACAATGAATGTTCAAAAAGGGAACACTCACAGTAATAGGAACTACGGCTGTGATTGGCTGGCAATGCAGCGGTAGTGAGCCGGACAAACTACGATCTGACGCATCAGAGGATCAATCACAACTCTGATGTTGAACGTGATGCGTGAGTTTCTGCAAGGGGAAAAAGCTGACATCCATCTCGTGTATGGTGTTGCTAATGGGAACGGCAGTATAATGGGAACGACTACGGTTGTACCAGGAACAGTTTCCAAACAGGCATGTACCGAAGCGCACAATGTTCGAGAGGTGTCATCGGTCTCTGTGTGAAAGTGTGTCATTTGAAGCCATCTCTGACACTAGGAGTGGAAGAAGAAGTGCACGACAACCTCGCATTGAAGAATCCATCTTGAACATTGTGCATGAATTACCTTAGACAAGTACAAGAACTGTTGCACGTCGTCTGCAGCTGAGTCATTCCACCGTTTGGAGAGTAGCTCATGAAAATTGTTTGCACCCATACCATTTGCAGAGAGTCCAAGCCTTGCAAGATTACCCTCTTCAAATTCATTTCTGTCATTGCTTCTTGCAGCAGTATGCGGTGCAGGCAAATTTGCCATCGGATGTGCTATTCACGGACGAGGCAACTTTCTCACAGGATGGCATCTTCAATAGCCACAACACGCACATGTGGGCAACTCATAATCCACATGGCACACGTCCACATGCATTCCAAACCCGTCTCTCAGTGAATGTGTGGCGCATATTGTTAATGAATACCTCATAGGCCCATACCTTTTACCTGCATGTACAAATGGCTTATGTTATTATATTTTTCTGCAAGAGGTGCTACCGGAATTGCTGCAGGATGTCCCGACTGTCGTTCATGATGATGCACCAGCCCATAACCACGTCCCCAATTACTTGGGACATTTCCGGGCCGATGGATTGGCCACGGTGGACCCGTTTGATCGCCACACCATTCGCTAGATTTATCCAGCTTGGATTTTTTTTTATGGGGCCGTCTGAAGAGCATCGTTTACGAGACTCCCATTGGCTCACTGGAGGACCTCATTGCACGACTATCCATTGCGGCTGTAAGCGTGCGTGATATGCCTGTCATTTTTCAAAATGTTCATCAATCTCTTTTGTGACGTTACCAAGCATGTATTATTGCTGGTGGTCGCAATTTTGAACATTTATTGTGAATACTGCATTGCTACAAAGAAGCACTTTGCATTGGTTTTGTACATAAACACATTTTCCTCTTTTGTCCTTTTTTTGTGTTCATTCCTTAACCCGTAACTTTAAACCTTGCATTCCTATAAAAAAATGCATGTTTTTGTATGCTCCACCACCCCTCCAAGTTGGTCCCATGATCTATGAAACACCCTGTATTTATTGCACTAACATAACATAACAATAGGGGCACTTCCTTCTTATGAAAAGAAGGAAAAGAGTTTAGGCAAAATTGCCCATTACTCTTCCGCCATTTGATCATTTAAATCAAGGGATTTAAATGGTAACTCCCGTAAAAGGTAAGTAATAAATAGATAAGATCTCAAACTGACACCAAATCTATAGTATCAGCAAAGATTCCCATCTCTAAGTTCAAGGTGTCGGCTGGATCGTGAAAACTTCCCTATTGGATGGAAAACCGATTCAATCCCTCCCAAACCACCAAACGCAAATTCTTGACCAAACAAGAGTGCGATGGAGAGTCAAATAAATAAATAAATAAATAAGGAGGGCAGGAGGTGCATTTCTCAAGCCAAATGGCCAGGTAGGTGTATAAAGATTTGGTATATATTTCCAAATTATATTCCAAAACACAGCTATGAGAGGGAAATCCCTGCATAGTTTCTTTTTCAAAAAAAAAAAAAAAAAAAAAAAAAAAAAAAAAAAAGAACTCATAGGGCGTCTTCAATGCTTGTTTCTTGTGGTTTCAAATTCACCTTGCCTGTAGGTGTTTAGTATACATCAGAAACCCTATTATGCCAGAGAGCCCTTTGTATAAAAGGGCTTGATCAAAGGTAATATAGGGAAACCCAAGGAATTTTTTTCTAGGGACAGAGAAACACCGGACATCGGTCCCAGGAAGTGAAAAGGTGTTTCCTCTTCTCCTTCTCCACAAGCTGGGCAGAGAGGAGATTCGACAAGACCACATTTGTGGAGATGCTTAGGCTAGATAAGCATGTCCCAGTAACAATTTGAATTACCTGGCGTAAGTTAGTTCTACTAGAGTGTATGAGTTTACCTGAAAAGTTAAGTGTACTGAGCACCAATTTAGAATGAGCACAGTCTGGAAGTTTAGACCATATATCATCATGTTTGTTCTTTATCCAGCTTCTTACTTCTTTTTTAACCGTTTGATATGAAACTGGGTAAAATGGTTCTGGACCAGACATGGGTAGTTGCGAAGCATCTTTAGCTACTTTATCAGCTAGTTCATTTTCCAACAAAATTACAATGACCTGGGACCCAGACTAAACTAATGGTATTATGGGCCTGAGCCAGAGAATTGAGATCTTGAGTACAGTTCAAAACACAGTTTTGTAACTTGACACGATTAGCCAGGGCAAGGATGGCTGATTGGCTGTCAGAGAGAATATATATATGCTTATCCAACTGTATTTTTAGCTAAGAGCTCCCTGGCGACCATATTGATCGCCAGAACCTCGGCTTGGAAAACAGTTGTAAATTTACCAAGGTATAGATGAAATCTAATGAAATCTTCTTCAGATCCCTTGGTCCTAATAATAGCTCCAGCTCCAGTAAAGTTGGATTTTGATCCATCTGTGTAACATTCAGTTGATCCTGTTGGAATTAGGTCAATTAGAGATTCTATCTCATTCCTTTTTGGTATATGAGTTGAGAATAGTTTATCTGGAACTATTGTTTTAGTAATTGCATCTTTGGGTATATAGATTATAGGGATCTCATTGCCCAAGTCCAGACATATGTCAATGTGGCTTTTCAGGTGGCTTTTATGACCAAAACCTGTCCTTTGGCACCATGTGCCATTTTTATTCAATCCTATACATGGCTTTAATTGCTTCTCCGCTCAAGAATAATTTCAAGGGTGGAATTTGCCAGTAAAAATTCTAATGCAGCAGTAGGAGGTACTATTTAAAGCCCCACTAATGCTTAGGCAAGCAAGTCTTTGCACCTTTTGTAAAATGTTTAAATACGTGCTTTTGTTAATAACATTAATCCAGACCACGCATCCGTAAGAAAGCATTGGCCGGACAATGGCAGTATAAATCCATAGAGTAGATTTTGGGTTAAGGCCCCAATGTTTACCAACGATTCGCCTACAAAGTACTAGAACATTTGTGGCCGTTTGTGCCTTTTCTTTTATATGGGTGATCCATGTAAGTTTACTATCCAGGTAACATCCTAGGTATTTAACGCATTCCTTACGCCTAATAATCTGGTAACCCAGATATAAATCTGCCAGTTTCCAGGGATTGTCACTTACATGCCAATTCTCAATAAAGTTATAAATATCAGATTGTTAATGTGAGGTCAATGACTTCTTCTCTTCTTCTGTTAACAAAGGTGGGGCGATTTCCCCTATTTACCCAAGTTAGGTTGGTATTCATTATAAGTTCCATGAGTTTTTCTCCTCTAGGATTAGTATCAGAACTGCCCCATGACAGGTGGTGAGCATTAACATCACCCCCAATAACCATAGGAATATTGTTTATTTCACAGAAACTCACAAAATCTATAAATTCTTGTGGAATGTTAAGGTCATAAGCCATGTAAACCGAGCAAAAACAAATGTTTCCTCTCAGTGAACTGTTCATGTCCTTAATTAAAATAGCAGTTAAGTCCTCTGATGTAAATTGGGATAATTTCATAGCCTTTATATTTTTTAGAAATGTAAATGCTAGTTCTAGGTCTTTTATCAGGTCCCTCTGTCGAAAAGAAGTGCGCGTTCATGGGCCTACCAAGGATTTTACCCTTGTACACCCCAAGGTTCTTGAATTAAGGCAACAAAAGTGCCTTGCTTACCTAATTGAGCAACTAAATTGTATGAAGCTGCTCTGCTATGTTGCAGGTTTAACTGACTAACCTTAACCATTAAAACAGGTTAAATGAGAGATAAGAACTTACTCTGAAGGATTTTAGGAGAGACTTAGTTAAAAGCCACATCCTTAGCATACCCACTAACTTCAAAGGAAGTAGTGACAAGGGGAAACCTATTCAGATGTCTTCCCCAGAGCCTCCAAAGAAAGCTCTGGTTCCGACTCCTTTTCGGTCTCCCTTTCTTCCGTCAACTGTTTCTTCGGAGGATCCTTGGGCGGAAGGAATTGATTTCTCCTGTTGTCTTGGTTCCTTCAGCTGTACAGAGCCACGGGCACCACAAAAAAGTTTGAAATTCTGGGCCTCCAGATAATCCATGAGCTTCAGGTTCCACTCCCAGCACCAAGTGTATTACCTCCGTTCTCCAGGGATAACTGCCTTGATGGCGATCTTCTTAACATCCAAGCCCTTGTTACAGGCATCAAGGAGCTTGGTGTTATCTTTTGGTGACCTGTTACCAGGAAACCAATCGAGCAAAAAACCTCTTCATGGGGGGTCTGTCCCCGGGAGCCATGGCATGATAACCGGGATGGTTTTCTTCAGGGCCAGGTAGATCATTGATTAAAGTTTTTAGGACAGTCCCACAGTCTCCTGGTCCTCACATGCAATGTTGAGGCCATTCGGCTGCAGGACTGTCTTGTGGACCCTGCAGGTGGTGATGAAGCCATCGATAATTCGGTCATCAATTATTGAGGTGATGAAGTCTGAATCCACCGATGTTATGTCTCTGGAATTCATCCTTGCAGACGATTCCTGCAGAGTAATTGCCTTCCTCACAGCTTGACTATATAAGCCGTCGTTTCTTGAGGGCCATTTCCGGGTGGTCACTAGCAATGCGTTCTCTCTTACGAGACTCTTCATTGCTTGGATGGTTCTTCCTCACCGGTTTGGAGATTGCTCCAGAGGTCCCAGCTTTATCTGTTTTCTCTCTTTTCGTTCCCTTCTCCCCAGAGATCGAGATCCCTTCCATGGCCCTCTCCAGTCGTTTCCCCTCCGCCTCTTTCTGGCGTTGCCTTTTTTCTCTTCTTTTATATTTACAACCTCTATCATTGGTGACTGGTCATCCGCTTGCGCATCTGGCACAGTACTTCTGACAGAGGAGTCAGTATCCATCCTCACTGGGTTCAAGGCGTCCGTGTCCGAAGGCACATTCACCCTTTCACCAGCGGTTCTGGTTTCTGTATTCCTGAAGAGAAGAGCGTCCGCACCCGAGGGCACATTCACTCCCTCAGAACGAATTACAGTGGTTATAGTGGGGATTTCAGAAGATGCATTTTTATCTAATTTTGTACTACAAGAATCCATTTTGGTATAAGATTGAAAGAAGGGGGAGAAAAATTCCTTCCGATTTTCTAAGAGCCAGTTTGGAGGCGCTAGCCCCAGATTTCAGCAGCCAGTAGTGACCTCGGAAGAGCCCCCCGCTTTGCCATGCAGGACCCCACCCAGGCACCACCTGGAACTACAAGGCAGGCGAGATTATACACCAGCTGATAGAGCAGCCAGGACATGCTGGTTAGGCTGCCCCGGGCTCCTGTACTATCTGGCGGCCTGAGACGCAAAACTCAGCTTTTTCCTGTATCCTCTACATGGCTGCTTCCTCCAAGACCCCTCCTCTCCAGATCAAAGGTCCTCGGAATTTCAAATCCTCCCCACAATCGTCGGTTTTCCCAGGGAAGAGCGGTCCGTTGGGTCGTCATAAGATTACTCATCATCAGGCCGAACCTCATCCCACTAAACCTCAGTATGCCACAGGACTTTGTGACAGTTACCCATTTAGCACCACCCAGGGGGCACGTGTGACTTAAGGATAATCACGGACGCGGGTAACATTACCCCCCATTTATTGCACTAAGTCAGGTAAATAAATTAAGAAAGAAGTCGATATGAGAAATTAAGCGCATTAAATTTTATCATCTATCATTAAATTAACAATTTTTTGACAATTTTGTTAATTTACCATTAACTAGGAAATTACCACTCTAACACTAACTAGCTCATTTGAATGTAAAGTGTTCTTGTTCTTCATTACCATCAAGATTAAAGTATGAAAATATTTCTTTGTTTTGTGGAAATTTTTTGTATGCCACATTTTCTGTTTGTGTTTATTTATATTAATATTAAATGTCTATTGCATTTTTTCAGGCCCGTATGGAAATTGATATAAAAAAATGCCCATGCTGTGGTTTTAGCATTTCAGAAATTAAATTTGAAGATCATTTAGCGCATTGTTTAAATAATACTAAAGAATGTAAATTCTGTGGATTGCATTTTAATGTGGCCTATGAAAAAATGCATTTGCAAGAATGCAGTAAAGTGAAAAGTGATTCTGCTACTTTTCATAAAAGTAAGAAGGTTTTCTTTAATAGCATAATGGTCATATCTTATTACAGCTAAGAAATACTTTTTTTTTTTTTTTTTTTTTTTTGCACCAAATGAGCAAAACTTTAATGCCAGCTGTTTGTGCTAAAGTTTGCTCCACAAGAAATTGGAGGGTTGTAAAAGGATATGCCAACCTTACTTGTTGCACTATTATTTAAAACTTTGCTCAAAGGTTAATTTTGAATTCTTAAATTTGGCACTTAAACTAGCAGCACTTTCTTAAGATTTTTTTTTAATCTGAGCTAATGGATTGGATCTAATTTGGATATTTTATGGTACTATTTTACACAACTTATTGTAGAAATAAATATAATTTGTTTCTACATATCTTTTAAAATAATAAATGTTATAAATGTTCTTTTTTGAGGGGCAGGGGACAGATTTTACTAACAACAGTGCTGTGCTTCAAGTGAATGAAAGAAAAGATAATTAAATTTTATGTTCATTTTTTATTGAGGGAAAAGAATTCACATTTTATACATGTTATGAAAGTGAACAAAACAAACGAAGAAAAAAGCGATTTCTTGGATGAAAAGAAGTTTTAATGAGAGGCAAGTTATTCGTGTCTGAAAGCAATGTAATTTCTTTAAAGGTGTGGAGGGAATATGGTATTCTATCCCATTTTATCTTTAGACAGCATATCTTTAGAATTTCCTCGCTGAAGATAAAAATGTTTTTTTTTTTTTTCCCCGTACAATGTTGCCATTGCTCGCTATGAACTCATTGAGTTTCTTAATCAAAAATTCGTTGAAGTTTTACAAAATATGAAATATATTAGAACAAATTCAATGTTTGGCTGTTCCAGTGGAGGATTGCATTATTCAAAATATGATGGCTGTAGATACCGTCGTTTTTTCACAGTGCCAGAAGCATACATATATTCATTATTAAATTTCTTTAAATATAATAAAAGGTGATAATATTCAGTGGCAACAATTTGCAAAGTGAAATGGACGTTTATGAAGCAGCGCAAAATGCCGTTTCGAAACTAATTGCCTTTCTGGACTACCGCCCCTTTAGGCTAATAAATTAATTCACAGTAAATAAAAAAAAATCTTAAAAAAATAATCACCTAAAATGTTAGCACAATCAATCATTGCAGTTTACAATTTTGACATTAGAATAAATGTATAAAAATTGTTAAGGAGTTGTTATGATGTTATGTGTTATGTGTTTATTATTATGATGTACTGTGAAATTTAATTGAAATAAAACTCCTTTATAAAAAATATGCTATAATATTCACCTATAATTTTAAAAAAGCAATAAACCTATAATTTTAAGCAAAAACTTTCAAACATTCATTTTTTAGGTATTTTTTACTTATTTACACCAATAAAAAGCGTAAAAAATATAAGAGAAAATTCTTTGTTTGAAATTTTCTATTAGTTCAGATTAAAAATATTTTTTTCTAAAAGAAGTAGTTACAAATTTCCTTACAGCATAGGAAAAGCTAAAAAAATAGCCAAGCCTGAAAGCATGCAACAGCTTTATAATTATTTGGAACATTAATTATGCTTGATAAATATGCTAAATTTTTTTTTAATTAACCTCAGTTTCAAAAATAAAAATATCTAAATATTCTAATTTGTAAAATGAGGCGCTACAACCAACTTTTTATTGACAATTATACACACTGCTATAGCCAACCACTGTAAGTTTCTGCAAGTCGTCCCTACTGGTGATTAAGGTGACAGCCAGGAATGCGTCAGAAGAGGGAGAAAAGCCATTTGGGTTGGTCTATTTCTTATAAGGGCCGTGTGTAGATGTTATAGACAGCCTTTGATGCACCTTGAACATATTTTTCCAACATTTTCTTTGCACCAATCAACACTAGCCTTCTCTTGAGCATTTGTCAAATTATGTAGTATCCAACACAAACAAATCTTTTTTATGGTTCATTTAATATGCTTGTCATACTAATGCCCAGAGATTCCTTAGTCTAATGGTATGTCAGATGACGATCTTGCTTTATCAGTTCACGCACAGCATCAATATTTTCTGGCTATAGAATAGAAGATATAGAACTGTCCCCTATCCTTTTGTGCAGAGTGTACATACAGTAGAATTTCTCTTAATTAGTGGCAAGAGTCACTGATTCTGGATAAGATATTTTGGTCTATCGGCCGTTATTAACCCCTTCCTTCTTGCTCCTGTCAAAAAGATGGGGTGAGGTTTCACTCTCTATTTCTTGTGCCCGTGATTTTTCCGGGCTGGAAAGTTTAAAAGCAACATGCTAAAAGGATTAAAACCTATTCATTTCTTTTGCCTAGAAAAAGTTTTTTTTCTCATTTTAGGCAGTACCAGAATAATACAGTCAAAAGTCGTTAATTTGGACACCCATAATCCGGAATGATCTATAATCCGGACCTCAAAGCTAAAAACTTGCTGCGCATGCGCCGCATTGACACATGCGCATAGGCGTTTACCCGTGCGCGTAAGACCTCTTACAACTGCGCATTTGCGTGTGCGCAAGCGCAGAATACGTTTTCGCACGCTCGTTTTATGTATAACGAACGGTATAAGCTAAAATTATCTAATTATCTATTTCAGTTAATGTTGATGATTGCGTTGTTCCTTAATTTTCGAATTGGATTCCGGCTTATTATTTTTTGCAGACTGTAAGAGCAATACTATAAAAGTAAACTTGAACTTTCGATTATGTCAAATAGAACTTCCGAATCTGGAGCTGCCAAAGGATCGCACAAAACGAAAGCATGTTTCGATGTCCATCAAACAAAAAGCGGAATTGCTGCAAGACATGAAGAATGTGACAGAGAGGTTAGTGAAAACGAAAAAATTTCGATTGACAAGTTAGTCGGTATTCTCGGCACAGCCGAAAAAGAGATCCCGTTTTGGAGTAAAATCGTTTTTGTTATGTGAATCAAGTTCAGGGTATGTATGGTCACAAATTTTATATACTGGAAAAGGTGCGCTTTTTGATGCAAAATGTAAAGATCTGCCCCAATCAATTCAAGTTGTGATGTCACTTATCAAGCCCCTGCTAAAACAAGGATATTGTCTGACAACAGACAATTTTTATACCTCACCAGATTTGGCAGACATACTTTTAAAATTTTAAACAGACGCTTATGGAATTGTAAAACTAAACCGAAAAGAAATTCCTCAAGAATTAGTAAAAAAGAGAATTGCAAAAGGTGAAAATGTTGCTTTTCGTCGAGGTAAATTTCTTGCCATGAAGTGGAAAGATAAGAAAGATGTGACCATGCTAACAACAGTTCACACAAATGACATAGTAGATGTACGCTGTCATAACAAAGTTTTCAAAAAAATGACAATTGTCACAGATTACAATAAAAATATGGGAGCGGTAGATAGATATTGTAGACCAGTATCTTGGAGATTACTCTATTGCTCGAAAAAGAGGAAAGAAATATTATAAGAAAATATTTTTTCATTTGTTAGACCAAATTATTTTGAACTTGTATCTTATTTACAAAAGATAGGGCAGAAAAAAATCCCATTTGATGTTTCGTTTATCTTTAGTAGATGAACTTAGTGAAATGTATCAATCCTCAGACACCATTTCAAAAAGAGGCCGGCCAAGCTTGGAGGACAATCTAAACCATTTGATTGAAAGACATTTTATTAGACAGATACCAACAACTGATGAGAAATGGCAACTATCAAGAGAATGCAAAGTTTCTTGTTCCAGATGGGATAAGCGAATGTTAGCAACTTAAACATTCGCTTATCCCATATGTTGCGAATTGTGCTAGATTATATGCTCTTCCCAAAACTCATAAAAGTGGTATTCCTTTCTGCCCTATTGTATCAAATTTAGGTACTGCCTTGTATCCAATAGCTAAATATTTAGTTTCTAGATTTTCAAATCTATTAGACAATAACATTTACACCATAAAAAATTCAATAGAGTTTGTAAAAAAGGTTAAAAACATTTCTCCTAGAAATTTACTCATTTTTTCTTTTGATGTAAAATCATTTATGAATCATAATTGTTTGAAACTTTAAACTTTCTGGTATGGTTCTGCTATGTAGACGATACTTTTACCCTGTTTAAAGGTAATAAATATGATTTAAATAAAGTTCTTTCAACAATGAATTCTATTGATCCTGCTATTCAGTTCACTTAACTTGCAATTCTCTTCCGTTTCTCGACATTCTGGTCACACGTAACACATCCAATTTCAGTACTACGGTTTACCGTAAACCATCATCAGTTTGCCTTCCACCCACTTTTAAATCATGTCATCCGACTAAACAAAAGTTAGCTTCATTTTATTCCTATGTTTTCCGTGCTCTTCAGGTTTGCTCCTCCAAACTATCCCTTGATGAAGAACTAAATTATTTAAAAGCAATAGCTATTGACAGGGGCTTTTCACCCAACATTATTAATCAAGCAGTTAAAAAATTCTCATCTCAATACACTAAAAGGCACACTCTTGTTTTAGGAGATTATAAAAATTCTGTTGTCATTCCCTTCTTTCCATCAATTAGCTCTAAAGTTGCACATATTTTGCAGAAATTTAACTTTCGGGTCATTTATTCTCCCATCAATAAAATTCCAAGTTCCATATTCAAGGACCCCATTCCGGATATGAATTCCTGGGGTATTTATAGGATTCCTTGCTAGTGTGATTTAATTTACATTGGCCAAACTAAGAGAGCCTTAAAATTTTGCATCAAGGAACATGAGGCATATGTTAGAAAAAAGGAAACACAGAAGTCTTCTGTTGCTCAACATTGTTGGTCCGAAAATCACACTTTCAATTTTTCTGCTGCCAAAATTATTCAAAAAACATCTTCCATTGGAGAACTAGATTTTCTAGAGGCATTTCACATTCAAAAAAATCTTTCTGTTCTAGTTAACGATCCTAATTCCAATCCATCTTTGCCTTCGGCCTTTAAAGAAATTATGTTTTAGTTCTGGTTTCACCAACAGATGGGGCCACTTGCTTATTCTTGTCCTGGCTTTCTTATCTTATCTAATCATTATTTCCTATCTTGTTCATTTTCAGTTTTGCAGCTGAGGATGGTGGTTCAGTAAAACCATCGAAACTAGTCCTGTGAAAATTTTGAAAATATAATGCTGATTTTTGTTGTTTGACTTCTGAATTAGTATTTGTTGTGTGTTATTGTGTCTTAATTAAACCATTTATTACCAGACATGTTCAAACACACCGGGGGGTCTCTTTGATTGTAGCAGCTGCACAGGCTTGTCTTGCCATGAGATCCATTTCAGGATCGCAATACATAACATTTTACATTTTTGATGGCTTCCCACAAAAAGAAATCGAGACTCCATAAATCTGGTGAGCGTGGGGGCCCAGGTAACTGATCCACCACTCCCAGTCCATCGATGCGGGGATGATCTATTCAGATGGCTACGAACATACTGTCCAAAATGAGTCCACTTCTTAATGACTGACCCGTAGTTGCACAAATTTTGATGCAGATGTGCAAACAAACTGTGGTATAGTTAATGTCTGTCGGAGAAGCGTTCTCGATAAATGCCTGCAGCGGTTCGTCCATTATCCTCAGCTGTTTCATACACTAAGTGCATGTCTGCAAGCTCCCGGTTCGTATAGCATTCCATGCTCTTCGCATGGTACCTATCGCTCAAATGAGGCAATCCTCACTTTCCACTAGCACTCTCTTGTACAGCCCCTCTGGCAGGTACAATGATGTTTCTGGGCATGCCTTCCTATGCAATTCTTAATCCTTGTGATGTGCTGTACCTTCCCCAGATGTTTATTGCAACATTTACGGGACACCCTGTATATATAACTTGAAAGTTATGAATTTAAATTTGAATGTCTTAATGCTTTTGAAATTGTTGCCAGAGTTATCTCTTTCAAACACATAATTAGATCCAAAATGTTGCACATGTGTGCCGAATATGTTTTAAATTCAAAAGAAAATTTCCAATACTCAAATTGTCATCTATGAATGTAATCATAGGCTGTAATTTATGCAAGCGACTTGAAGTAATGTTCTCCGTATCTTTCCTGGCAAAAATCAAAGTAAATGGCGGCTTTTATCTTTTTTAGAAGCACAACAGCTCCTTACAAGCTTTGGCTGCCTCAACGAGACGCTTCTTCCAGTGTCTTCTATCAGCAACAATTTCACTAAATTTTTTAACTTTCAAAGTTTCAAAGTCTTTTTTCAAGGTCATCTAACTATCTAGTTAGTGATCTCTAGTTTGGGATCCCTCAGTTTTTTTTAATGCCCTCAGTTTTAATTTTCTGGCTTTTCCAAACATTATCCAACCATCTTAAACTGTACTGAAGTGCCACTGAATTAGGGATAGGAAGTCAATAAAGAGTTGGGTCTCTTCTGGCCTTGATAATGGCTGCTACACAACAAGGCATAGATTCACAAAGTTTGCGGAAGCCTTCTACGGGAATTCCATTTCCACGCGAAAGACTGGACAACATAAATGGATGGAGATGATCGCCCATTGACTCTACGTCCTGAATCATATCGAGGGAGGTTGGTATAAGTACCAAACATCCCAAACATTGCCAAGAGGAAACACCCCAGACCATGAGTGAGCCGGCATGGCCTTGTACATCTCCATTTGTTATATTTTGAAGTTTAATGCCAGTAAAGTTATAGCATTCAAGTTGATCTCCTTTTTTAAAATAAAGCAAATGGAGCCTTCTGCCTATTCAATGGGTATTTTTTCCGAAATCTAGACATTGGTCATAATATTTTGAATGCCAATTATAAACACTGGTTTGTCAAGCTTCAGTAGTTCAGATGGTATATAGTTGTGACCAGCTGATTTTTTGTGTTTAAGTTTTTTAATTGCAAGCATAACTTAATCTAAAGATGGGTAAGGATCCATTTCTATGTTCATGGGAAGAATTTGGTTCTTCAAAGATTCCAAGGAAGATGCCAATTTCATTTCTGTCCTCCAGCAGATCTTGAAAATATGCCTTCCATACATTCAATACCTCATGAAGCAAGTTCTCCATTCTTACTTGTGCATATAATAGTTCTTGATTTGAATTCTTTTCTTATAGTACTATTGAGTATCTTATAGAACCTCCTAGATTCTCTGTAGTTATTCACATTTTCGAAGTTTTTTTTTAACATTTTCTCCTGGAAAGCTCTTTTCATGTAGCTTCTTTTCCACTTTCCTCATATCCTGATATCTTTCTGAATAATTTCTAGTATGGTGTTTTCTGTATCATCATTCTGTAAGCCTTGTTTTTGTTTTCATTGGCTTCTTTTGTACTTAATAGCAAATTAATCATTTTTTGTACAAGGTTTTAGACTTGGAAGTGTTCCAAGTGCTATCTCAGTATTATTTCTTTTACGGGGTGTCATCTCACATCACAGTTTTGGTTTCTGTTTTTAAGCATGGATAACTTAAACTTATACCTTTTAAAAATATCTGGATCTTTGAGTTTGACAGCGTTTTGTCTAAAACTAAGATTCTCTTTCCTAGAGTAGAATTTCTTACATATTCTGTATCTGACTTTGTACAAAACAAGCAGACAAATCAGAAACAAAACTCTATTTGTATACAGCATAAAATTTTATAAGCAGTCTGACTAGCATTCCTTCCTTTGTTAAAATGAGAGAATAATGTGCTGAAAATGAACTAATTACAAATGTTGAATTTTGTGATTGTTTTATAGCAGATTAAATTTTTGTAAATTAAGAATATGCTTTTCTCGAGGAGACAACATTCATCAAAAATCTTATAATTAAATTTAATCTCTGATTAAATCTGGTTGATCTCTGGTACCTAGATCACGAAGTCATTTAAACTAATTTAGAAATTGTTTTTAATTCTCTTTGCTAACAAAGAATGGGTTAGATAAGTTTTATAACATTTATTATTTAATGTTGCCAAAATAAAGTTATGCATTCTCTAATGTTGCAAGCTTCTTAAAAGTCAAAAATGGTTAATAAATTTAGGAATATGACTTTTTTTAAATAGTTTCTTCAGATTGTAAGCTTTTTTCTTGAATTTATATTTAATTGTGAACTTTTTTTTTTTGTGTGTGTGTGTGTGTGTATTATATTATTTATTTATTTTCAGGTAAAAAAGACAAAAAACGTCAGAAAAAGGCTGTAAGTTCCTTTTTGAATTCCCACCATTTGCCTTTAAAAGAATATTGCATTTTCAGTAATTTTATTGTAATTACATCCAAACAGATCTAGCCTAAAAATGTTAAGAAATCTACAGAAAACATTTTGAATAGGAAGTTTTTTTTTTTAAATAGTTTAATTTTAAGCTGTTTTAACATTTGTTAAATGCAGTAATGATTTTAATTTTATATAATTTTTTTATTTTTAGATTGAATTTTTACATTTTTTTAAAAATTGAAATTGAGTTCCCCCCCCTCCCAAACAGCGGGCACAAGTCGTCTTAGACTTTGGTTCTGCTAAAGCTGGAAGCGGTGATCACATTATTATGGAGGCACTTAATAGGTCATCCACCATTGCCTTCAGTGAAGAGACAGATAATTTATCTCCATGCCTTCTCTGGGATTCGAACCTCGACCCTTCGGTATGGCAGTCAGAGTCACTAAGCGCTTTCCAATCTGGGCGACAGTTTTGTTATTTAAAGCTGATGGGCGGGGGGAATTGTCTTTTTGTTTTAAAGTGAAATTGAGTTTTCTTATCTAAATAAGAAAACTCAATTTCACTATATTTTTTTAAAGCTATTTTCAGATTTTGCGTTTGGCTTGCGTGCAGTTTGAGACCATTTATCTAGCGGAGGTTAATGAATGATAATTCTACATAAAGAAAACTTTTATTTGAACGATATTAATCAAAATGAATAGTAAACCTGAATAATGTGTTTCATAAACTGATATACTTTAATAATACGTTTCTTATAAAAAATATGTACCCTAATCCCGATGAGAAGGTTGAAACTTTGTGATAACTGTGGAATTCTTGCATAGTGTTGGAGAGCAGAATGATCCATGATGAGCACACACAAGAACTTCTCCAGGGTTCCGTTTTGTCAGAAACTTACTGTCATTCCCTGAGAAATGCATAGATTGATCCCGAAAAATACTATTAAGTCGAATCGTGGGGTGGGTAATTTTTTTTTTCCCAGGCCCAGCTCTGCAAGCTCTCTTGTTTCTGTGCAAGGCCTAGGTTCGGTTCTCTCCTTTAAAAATGTAACTTCTTGTTTAGTTTGTTAAACTTGATAACTTCTATACTTTCAAAGTAGACTCAACTAATGAGTATCTCATAATTCAAAACTTTTATTATTACATTTTTAACAGTTCAATGACATTCACGGCACAGTAACACGTGCATCACAACAACGGCAATAGCATGAGCGCCATTATAGTTTTATTTACTTACAGTTATAGTTGAGTTATTTTGAATATATGCCACATCCCTCCTCAGTTATAGACAATAATAAAAATAAAATAATATCATACAAGTATATTCACAATATGACATACAATAAAAAAAAGTTACATAAAAATGATACATGCAATACGTTACATTATTTTATTCCATGACAAAGTCTCTATATCTTGAAGGTTGTCTAATCAACCATCCACTTCTTGTTATTGTATTATTGGATATATTATTCTGTTGATTTCCTATATTTAACAGGCACAGAAACATTTTCAGGGCTTCCATTTGAATTTTCCTCTTTATCTAATATTATATCATCATAATCATTATTAACTTTGTAATGATGGGATTATTTTTTACAATGGGAAGATTAACAAGATGGGGGAGGACAAGTTAACTGGGATATGAGCTTTTGAAATTCAGAAGCAAGGACTTTTTCTAAGCGTTGACAAGCGTTCTCAGTTCTAGAGCAAGATTTATGATCAAAAGAGGGAAAATTTAAAGTAGATTTAGCAAGTTTTAGATGAAGGTAATATAATTCGTATTCAGTTTCAGACAAAAAATGTGTGTTTATCTTATAATGTGACAAAAAAGTGACAATTTGAATTTATGCATAATTTTTTTAATGTGAAAAGAAGATAAGATTACATTTGACTTGTATAAATTTGATAATGATATTCTAGTGTTTGCAATTAAGCAAAAAATGCAGATGGTTTAAGAATTTCATATGTTCAAGTCATATGAAATTCAAGTGAGTTCAAGTGAATTTTTCATGTGATTTCAAGTAACTTATAAATGTAAGTTCCTGTCTGTTGACATGTTCCTAAAGAGGAACAAGTGCGAAAAACTGGTGGAGAAAATATTATGAAGAAAAACACAGAAACAAGGAAACTGAAGGAAGCAAATCAGTACAAAATGAAACAGCACTATTAATGCAACAGAATATTAGCAATTTTTGCACAAAAAATATGTCAAAAGGATCAAAGAGAAATTTAAACAAAAAGAGGAACTCCAACCACTTTCAAAAATTAGAGATTCCAGCAACCGTATGGAATGGGAGAAGCAAATACCCAAATGGGGCAAGTGGGCAAACAATACAAACTGGAAGAACTTTCTCAAAAATGCCGGTTATACTGCCACTACTGGAAGAATGAAGTTCTTGCATAGGCCCATGACCTCGAACCACTGAAACATCTGTGTGCCTGAGCGCATTTTGAAGTTAAGCCTAATATGAATCTGAAGTCTGCTATTCTTAGGAAGCATTCGTGACTTTAAAAGTAGAAGAATTATCTTCACATCTTGTGATTACAGAAACAAAAGTCAGAAGAAGGGTGTATAAGATTTTTTTACTTGAACACAAAAAAGTAACAATGACTCAACTTGGGTTTACACAAGCCAACATTTCTGGCTTAATATAAATACATAATGTTAAACGAAAATCAAATGTAATAGATTAACCTAATGGCTCACAGGGATAAAGTAATGCACAGGAAAGACTCTGGTTTGTTGAAAACTGACGAGACAAGCCTAATTGCTCTAAACACTCAATGCCATATATTGTAATTAATTCATGTAGGATCTTTTGTTAAGAGTACATAATATATGTACTTAGTATTCAGCGAGTTAATGCTTATATAGTATTCATTGGATCTTATGCATAAATAGTTATCAGTGAGTTATAGACAGGGCTGTGGAGTTGGAATCGAAGTGGGGCAGATTTTGGAGTAAAATGAGTTGGAGCTGGAGTCGCTAAAAACAGACTCCAACTCCAGTTTTTGTTGGACAGTTTGAATTTGAAAGGAAATTAAAATGAATGGAAAAAAAAATTAATGACAAGCTGAGTTATTATTTTTATTTATGGAGTATATACATTAATAAATAGTTACTTTCTTTTTTATTGACATATTAATAAATAAATATAAGGGAGGAGGATGGATGTGATATTTGCCATTAGTGATTAAACTGAAGACAAGAGACAGTTGTATATAATTAAATCCTTGGAATAAAATGAAAAATTAAATAAATCAAATGCATAACATCTAATTTAGAAGCTTTAAAGAAATAGAATTCCCCCTTTTTAAATCTCTGCTGTTTTAAAAGGAAGTCATTAGATGTCCAATTTGTCGTATTTATTAGAAACAGCATATTGATATCAGCTATTCTGAAATTTTGGGGCGTTAAAATTTTGAAAGATATAAAATTAAAAGTGTTTTCCAAATTGACAGAAAAATTTCAGTGTATGCTGATGAAATGAGAATATCTATCAATCAGTTGTTTTGAAGGGGGGCATTTATTTAGGAGTTTCAGAAATATAGATGCTTTATTAATCTTATATCATTAGAAACTAAAACTGTATATATGCTCAAATTTTCTTGTAAATTTTTAAAAATAAAATATTATTACATTTTATTTCAACGGAACTAGTGTAATGATAGGAAGCATATCTGTCATTATAATCAGAGAAAGCAAAAATTTCCCAATGTTATAATTTGACACTGCTGGCTGTTCTCTTGATACATTTAGTGTTTCGCGACTCGATAAAAATATGGTAGTTAAATTATTTTGAAATGCTTGCGAACAAAATATATGTCATTATCAAAAGCCAAGGAAGATAGCTATAGATCAATCATATATTTGCACTCATTGGATGATAATTTCACTCTTCAAAACTAAAAAGACAGTGAGCTCATTGGAAAACTAAAAGGTAATGGAAATAACAATATTGCATGAAATATATCCTTGGAGTCTTTCAGTAGTAGGAGATACAAAACGTATAATTTGAAAAAGATATTTTAATAATATATTATTTTTATTTCTTATGAATCAGGTCACTGCTTCCTTAGATTTGCTGTCTGCTTGACCTAGTATCAACAGTTGATATTTATTTTGTGTTAGGTTTCCGTAAAATGTTTTAATAAATTTAGTATAATCATTGTTAGATATACTCTTTTCATAGTGCACAGCACACAACAGTAAAAGCATCCTGAAAAACTGCTATAAACACATGTGCTCTTTACCAGTGAAAGTCTTACTTTCCTGAATTCATTGGATAAAATGAACAGAAAAGATTAATTCTCTCACTCATGGAAAAATTAACACCCTCTTCAGTTTTTTTTTTTTTTTTTTCCTTAGTTGAAGTCTGTGATGAAAGTGAAGTAGTATAAAGTAAGCACTCAAGCAGCTATCTCTAATCCAGTCAACTAAAAATTTGACTGAATCTGAAGAATGGTAATCATTTACCTGTATTCATCTGTAAATTAGCATAAAATCTCTGGGGTAGAAGTCGAGGAAGGTCAAGGAAATTCCAGATTTCCTAAGCTTTTGCACATACAAGATCTAATAAAAAGAATCTGAAAATCTGTTTGTAATATTTTGACAGGTTCTCTAAATGACAATATTCAGTGCTACTGGTGTAGCTGAGAATTATATTCATACTAAGGTTTACATTTAAACATAAATATTGTTTACAGCTAAAATTTATATTGAAACATAAATATTATTTATAGCTAAAATTTACATTGAAGCCTTATATTGATAGCTAAGGTTTACATTGAAACAAATTAAAAAAATAGAAAAATGCAGTATTTTCAAATATTTGTAGAAATTTTTATAGTAATTTTGATTTTAAATTGTTAAAATTTTAAAACTATTTATTTATGTATTATTTTCCCCTTCATAGAAGAAGAATTCTTTGCCTGAAAGTAAAGTACCAGATACATTTATTGAACCAAATCCAAGTAAACATATATGCAAAACCTTTAAAGGTTATCACTTTTAAATTTTAGTATATTTTTTTAATTTTAATATTTCAGTGTTATGTATAATTTATTATTTGTTTTATTATATATGTTATTTTAATTATAACATATATTAAAATTCAATTTGTTTTTTTTTATTATGTGTGATATATTATAATGATATACGTTTTGTAGTACAAAGCAGTCTAAAATTTTTCTCAGATGTTCTTCTTTAGCATATGTAATATATATATATATATATATATAATAATCAAACTCCTCAAAGTCAAATCTACTAATCATCAGAAAGAAAACTACCAGAGCACCACTAGAGATCAAACTTACACTTTTTGATATGGAGGTTCCCATCATGAAAAAAGCAAGCTACTTAGGTGTAATTATTAGTCATAAATTCACCTGAACTGAGCACATTAAAAATGTCAAAAGGAAATTTATTGCAGGCATGAAATGCCTTATGCTACTACTTGGTAAGTTCTCAAAATTGAACTTGCTGCGGAAAAGACATCTGCACACAGCAATAATTCGACCCATTTTTTCATATGCCTCCCCTGCTTAGGTGGCAATTTCTAAGAATGATATGAATAAGCTTCAAGTTATGCAAAATAAGTTTTTAAGGCTTATGACGAATGCCCACTTTTATGTTTCCAATGGTACGCTCCATCGGGACCTTAAAATCGAAAGAGTCAAAAACCTTTCTTCATAAAGTTAACGAGAATTTTTTCAGTAAAGCATTAAAATACCTGCATATGGAAAAATATTTGACTATATGATTCTCACTGAGGACAGAACTATATAAGCTTTAGTGGTGAAAGCTCACAAAAATGAGCTTTAACAGCCCTTTTTTGTGACTGTAACTTTCCTATGTAATCAATACACTTTGTATATATATTCTACATATGTTTTCACTTATGTATCATATGTATTTTATTTCTTATTTGTTTGAATGTATTAAATTGTATTTTTATATTTGCTGTTGTTTACCCACTCACCTCACAACTATTAGGACTTGCTACTCACCAACACTTGCTTCTCCTGGTCTGCAGCTTTTATTTGGATTTCGTTTTTCTTCCTTGTGGCAATTGGTCACTCCCTTACCAATTCTTACCAATTTAGGTCCCTTTATCATTGTTTTGGACATGTCCATGTCAGGCGCCATTTGGGCAGATGCATCAGGAGCCCGAAACGTTGTGAGTCTTCTGCGATATTCCACCAACAATGATATGGACTGGATTGAATTATATTATGTTATGCTCATCTCATTGATACGATACTTACGTTTTGTTCTAAAAGTATATTTGCATTTTAATAAGGTTTCTCGTCCCAAATAATTTAAATTACTTTACATGTAAGGAAATTCTTGATATGCATATGAGTATGCTAAATTTGGGGAATTTATATTTAATTTAATTTCTGCTTTTGATTTGCATATGCATAGCAAGGACGAAACACAATGTTTGAACAAGGCGTAGGATTGTTAATAGTCCTTCCTTACATTTTAATTTTTTAATGGTATATATATGGTTAGTACAAAACTGTTTTAGTTGTAATATATATTAATGTAGTCATTGTATATTACACAGACGTAGATGAACAGGGAATCTCTGTAGAAGAGCTATCTGGTCTGGTGATTTAAGAATTATGTTTATCACGTAAATAGACATTTTATGACAATTGAATTGAATATGTGGCTGGAAAGGGACAATTACAGTGAACACTTTAGTTCATCATTTATAATATGAAGATTATTATAAAGTTGTGTAGGCTAAGTACACATGAGGTGTTTCCAGAGTTCTAAGAATTCTGTTCTAAGCAATGCTGTTGGCCAAAGACATGTCTTCACATGTTTATGCACCTATCACTTCCAAATATTGTTTAGTCTGTTTCAGTTTTCTACAGGATTTGTAGCAGTCCTTATAAGTGCTTATAAGTCCTTATATTTGAAAATGAAATATAAAGGCCCTTATAGGTGCTTACTTTTTCTTTAAAGCCCTTATTTTTTGTTTTTAGTGCTTATTTTTTGCTTTTAGTGCTTTTTTTTTTTTTTTTAATGAACGCGCTATTTTCCCCCTACCAAAGCCGAAGCTAAATAAACAACTTTTCTTAATATTGAATGTCAGGTGGTGAATCATACTCCCGGAAATAGCTTTTCCCCCTTTCTCTGCATTAACATAACCTTTGGTGCGCACAAAGAGTACAGACAGGTGCCCGTCGTTATATTGGTCAAAGAATTGCGAAAGCAGTAGAAAAATTTCGGTACATTCGGCATTCTTTTCCTCTCACCCAAATACTATACACGTTTAAATTTCTATCCAGATCTTAATAATTTGCATTCTCGTTCCGCTTGGTCAGTTCATATTTGTGTTTATTATGATCATTATGCTTATATTATGAGTATATGTATGAATGTTTATAATAACAGTTGCAGTAACTGCTGAAGTATAGTAAACTTCCAAAAATGGTTGTATTTTAACACAGCGTTTTAGGAATAATACTCGGAATGGCTTAAATAAAGGGAAAGTAATCGAATAGTCAAAATAATTTAATTTTTTTTGGCCAATACATTATATAGTGCGAAGATTGGGAGGTTCTCCCCTTTCTCCGCAAAATCTCAAATATTGAAACTGTTACAAGTTCGCTGCAAAACAAGCAACGGACTTTTTTTTTTTTTTTTGTCACTTTCCAATCTGGATTGAATAGGACTAAAAGTTCTGTGGTCTACCAACCCAAGCGAAGAATGATTCTATTGCGGAAATTTAACGCCGTCTGTTGAAAATTAGAATGAAAAACACCCCAGTTACTCATATTTAGTTCTTTATTCTCCCAATTTCAGCAGCTGTTGATTCCGATTGCGTAATATCACGTAGGGAAGAATTATGGCACACGTATTGTGCAATAACGTTTGCGATATTTCGCAGAGATAATTAATTAATTTTTTGATGTTCTGTTTGAGATTTGTTTATGAACACTTAAAAGAGTTTTACTGTGCTTGCTAAGCAGAATATTTTTCAGTTCCATTGGTTTATTTTTATATGATTCACATATCAAAATGTCAAAAGCATTTATTTAGCGGAAAAATCTAAAAAGTGGCTACAGTCAACCCCCCCCCTCCGCTCCTCTTTTTCAAGTTACGCTCAACTGTCCGAATATTCGCCAGTTTCCAAGTATGCGGCTTAGTTAAGCTTTTACTGTTAAAGGATGACTGCATGAAGCAAATTTCTGTCTTCTGATTTCAGAAATGTTCCTCTTTTTTACTTAAATTACTTTGCTTGCAATATCTGTTAAGAGAAAACTGATATACAATGAAAATTTAGAAAATATTCAGAATTTAGATTTAAATTATTTAAATATTAATATGAGTGGAAAAATAAATTGTATTTATTATTAGGTTCCAAGCAAATACAATAAATATGCCTTATTATTATTTATTTTCTCTATTTTGAACTGAAATTTCATCATTAAATCTTGTAATATAGTTTAGTTCTGCATAGTTTTTTTTTTTTTTTTTTTTTTTCTCTCATTGTAAACTAGTTCTGTAAATTGAACTGTTATTTAAAATTTAAAGGGAAAAAAAAAGTAATTATTTTCCATGGTTGAGGTAATGCTTATTCTCTCTTAATAAATACTGCATTTCTCATATTTTAAATTACAAGTCTAATTAAGGTTATGCAGTTGTGTATAATGTCATTAGACAGGTGCTTATTTTTTTTCTTAAAATGTGCTTGAAAAGTGCTTATAGGTGCTTATTTTTTTAACTAAAATATGGCTATGAACCCTGTTTCTAACTAAAACTGGTATAAAGACAAGTTTTGACATGTTTATGCAACTATCTCTTGCAAATAATTTTTAGTTAATTCAGTTTTTTTACTAATACAGGCCCTGTTTTAGCGCATTTAGGACTTTGCAATCATAGAAGATATGAAGAGTAATCACTTTCCTTTTTTGAAAAGAGGCTGTGAAAATTTCAGAAAATAGTTCTATGTCTGTGAGGAGTATTCTGTTCCCACATTTGAAAAACTTTTACAGGGTGTTTTGTTTATTTCTGATTACGTAGAAATATGTAATTTAGTGTTAAGTTCCATTTGAAGAGAGCAAAAATTGTTTCAAGCTGTTTTTGGACCATATTATGTTGCTATGATTTGAAAATTGCATTTGTATATTATGTAGTGTATTCATTCAAACTTAAAAATATGCTAATAACAATATATTTTCTAAAGTATATGCTAATTATGAAATAGCCAATTTGTAAATTATCTAAAACCAAGTGAAAACAATATATCACCTTTTTCAAGTCTTAAGGATTGGTTCTGATATGGTTATAGTAAATTATACTGAGAATTAAGTAGTTAATTTTACAAATTAATTTCACATTAGCATAATTTTTAATGTAATTTTTCTTTTTAATGTTTTTTAGATGAAGTGCTGATACCATGCGAGTTTTGTCAGAAAACGTTTAGTCCAGAGTATATAATTGAACATGAGGTATTTAATAAATATATATATTATTATTTTTATGTAAATGTATTTATTTATTTTTTCCCAACATTGTTTTTTTAAATTATTCATTGTCTAAAAAAGCAAAGTTTTTTTTTTTTTTTTTTAATTTGACTTCATGATCTTTGTTTTAAATGTATAGGCAGCTGAATAATATAGGAAATTAAGAACTTGTGTATAAGATTTTATGCATATAAACAGGGTATCTGAAAAATATTGTTCTGCTGGCTTTATTTCTTTAAATGTATTAATCCTACTCCTTGTAATTAAAATTATAAAATAAAGTACATAATTATAGAAAATCAGTTTTAAACATGAATAGGGAGTTAATCAGTATAAAAAGAGAGAGAGGAAATGTTCTAATTTATAAAATATGTATTGTGGTTTAGTTAATTAAAAACAAAATGTTCTGCGTCTTTACATCTAAGATTTACTCTTAACATGAATGATCAATAAACATGTTCATTGGAAATAGGAGTCATCTGTAAATTTAATGATGGCTTATTTTACTCGGGACAAAATTATCAATTGTGAAAACAAAACTATTTTCTTTTGCAGCAAGTTCTTGAATCCTCCCCCCCAAAAAAAATGTTTATGTTAAGGATATACCTGGAAAAGTAACCCTATTCATTCTGAAATATTTCCATAAATTTTGCTTTTTAGAGTATGGATTTTTCAAAATTAATTAGAGCATAAATTATATTTGACTAATTAGAGTTTCTACTCTTAGAAGCCATAAAAAAATTATATTTTTTAACTTAATATATGTTATGTTGCTGATTGGTAAATATCTGCATTTTACTTTATAAAATTTTGTTAATTTTAAGTATAGAACATTACTTTTATCATTATTTAAAGAAATAAAGCTCACAACTACCTTTTCAAAATGTCAGCATATATATTCACATTTGATACTCTAAAAGAAATCACATATCATGACAAAATTTACATGGATGTATAATTTTTTAATATTTAAAGGAAAGTATTGTAAATTTTTGTTACACGTATAAAAGATACAGTACAAAGTTCAAAATCCGGATGCCCATTATCCAGAATGATCTAAAATCCGGACCTCAAAGCCACAAACATATTTTTTTTTTATTATTGCTTTATGCATGCGCATTTGATTTTTCCTTCCATAATAAAACATGTTGAGATTTTCAATTAAAAATTCTGATTCTTAATTTCACTTAGGCACTAAATAAAATACCTCGTTATGGAAAAACAATAATGTAAGCATAAATTAATGAGATTAATAATTTGGCTCCGTAGCTGAGTAAGTCCTTGGCATACATCTCAAACCAAAATATTCACCTACTTTATACCTCTGACGCCGACCTGGCGAGTCATTATTTATTGTATTTTGCTTTCATCACCGCATGTTTATCAATACAGCTTCAGTAATAACTCATGTTGTGATGTCTAAACTTTTTTACTTCCTTGTATGAAGTAAAAAGGAAGTATTGTAATCGCGAAAAGCTTCAGGCAGCATATTTCAACGAAAATATCCACTTTGACTGCTTTCGAATGCAATTTAACAATGTTTTTGTGTGATATCTGTACGTAAGGACAGAATAAAAGACTCTTTTCCTCCAAAAAAACTAAAAAACTGCTTTAAAATGAATTCTGAAGAGAATTTTTCGTGGTGTCTGTACGAACGTATGTACGTACGTATCTCGCATAACTCAAAAACGAGTAGCCTCAGAACGTTGAAATTTTGTATATAAGACTACCATAGCATGTAGATGTGCATCTCGTATTTTGGTTTCAATTGGCTGCGCCAAACGTATATAAATATATTTATAAATATATCCACTCTATTACCCAGCTCAGTGATCTCAGTTTCTTTACTCTTATATGTTTGTAAATTGTACATTTTTTTCTTTAAAAATGATTGAATTATATTGTTTTTATCTTCCGGTTAAGGATTTTATGCCTTTAGTAAATCTGTGTGCAATATTTTTAGAATCATCAGCAATTTTAAAATTGTTTACGTGACGCTAAGCCTAATTTGATGGTGGCCATTGCTCTTGTTTATATTAGTAATTGAATAACAAGAGTATGGCAACCTTTTATGCTAACATTACGCATGGTGACAGCACCGAATTTTTGATTTTTATGATCTGGGGCAAAAGCTAAAACTGCAGCCCTCACCCATCATCCTTTAAGTTTCTCTAAAAAGTTTTAATTTTTTTAATAAATACAGAAATAGTTAGGATTTTCGGTAAAAACATAAACTCTATTTTATACTAAATTCTTCATGTGCCTTTTTTTTGGCTATAAAGTAAAAATACGTACCAAAGTTACATAATTAGAAAATCGTCCCCTCCCAGGAGAATCGCCTTTCTGGTGAGTTTACTTTTAGATTCAAGCCTAATCCTAACTCTAATTCTGAGTGCTTCTAACCCTCCAGTCCTCGCCACCATTCGTTTTCTGTTCTAGGGACAATGGGCATCCCCTAAGCTTCTCACTGTTCCGTATTATTGCATTACTGGTTACAGGAGGGCTACCAGACAAAAGGGCTACCTGCTTAGAAGAGAGATGCTTTCGTGGAGGAATTTTTTAAAGGAAACTGGCTCCTATTCACGTTACACATGAGGAAATTCACGAAAAGAAACCATGCAGCCAGCCCGTTTTTCTGGGTTTGAACCCAGGCAAGGTTGAACTACCAGTATTCAGCGGTCTTAATCACTCGGCCACTGCTCAGGACATTTGTTTCATTATTTGCTATGTGTTTCGCCATTAGGCACTGCATGGAAAAGGTGGAATGCCTTGTGGAAATATTTTTTAAGGCAAACTGACTCGTATCTGCTTAGAGGAGAAGTGCTTTTGTGGAGGAATGTTTAAAGGAAACTCGTTCGTATTCACATTACACATGAGAAAAGCCACGAAAACAAACCATGTAGCCAGCCCGTTCACCTGGGTTTGAATCCAGGCAAGGTCAAACTACCAGTATACAGCGGTCTTAATCACTCGGCCACTGCTGAGGACATTTGTCTGATTATTTACTATGCGTTTCACCATTAAGCTCTGTGTGAAAAAGGAGGAATATCCCGTGGAAAAAACTTTGTAAGGGAAACTGGCTTGTATCTATGTTACACGGGGAAGATCACGGAAATGCTCCTACAGCCAGCCCATTCACCTATACTTGACCCTCGGACCGAACTACTAGTGCTTAGCGTCTTTTATTGCTCAGCCACTAATGGGGACATTGCTTACAAAATATGGGTTATTGCCGAGAGGAAGTATTCTGTAACGATTATACAGAATATGGCTATTACTGAGATTATTCGTGCTTCCTGTCTTGTTTTTCATACTTATTATTTCATAAGTAATTTTAAGTTCTTACCTGCCTTAACACTATTAAAATATCACAAAATTAGTAACTAAAATTAAAACTTTATTCTATAAGCCTTTTGTTCTGCAAATAAGTGCATGGAATCGTCATAATTTGATCTGCGGTTTGATTTTCAGTTGCCAGAATCGCGAGACTTGATAAACGATCCTTGCTCACCAATGATCGTAGATAATTTTCAATATGTTTTAATTTGCTGAAACTTTGATCTGAACAGGTTGAAGTATTCGTGATTTGTCCTAAAACAGTTCATCAGATTGCTTTTTGTGCTTTGGAATTCTTTCTTTGTCAGAATAGACTCAACTGCAATTTTTTTGGCTGCTGTATTGTATCCAATATTCCATAGGATTTTTCTGTCTTTATAATTCCTCAGTTTTAGTCAGTTCTTTCGTCAACTACACAGAACGCGGAAGAGGAATTCCTTTTGAATTTCTATATACTCGATTGAACTCTGGAAAAATATTAGCTGAAATTTTCAGGTTGATAGTAAATTCAAATTTTTCACAGCATGTATCAGATGTCTTATCTCATGCTTTGATTCTGCATCAAGAGAAATATCTTTAATTTCTTTTAAATATTTGAATATTTCCGGTAAATTCATTAGAAGGACTTTCACAGCCACATATTTTTCCGACCATTTCGTCTGGCTGCTTCCTTTTAAGTTGTATTTTGTACATTTTTTCATAATATACCATCGAGTAGTGCATCCAACAAAAAAGTGAAGTATTTTCTGAGTAATCTCAAATAGATTAACTGCTTTCAGGCATGAAGAAGCAGAATGCATCCTGACACTGCATACTGATATAGTACGAGGAGTGAGCCAAACATGGCACAAATTCCTCCAGCTTTATCATTTCTCTAATTCTAGCTTGTACTGTTTTAGAAATGCCAGCCATATTAGACCCGTTTTCGTAAGACTGACACTGACATTGCCCAATATCTAAACCATCAAGTGTCAATTAAGACACTAATTTTCTACAATGCGTTCAGAAATACATTCTCCTATCTTTCCACCAACTTCTTTGAAATCAATTAAATTTTACTTTATCTCACACAATCACCGCACGTTTATATGTATTGAGTCACCTGGTTCATTTTTTTCTGTGTGAGACACATATCGGGTAAATATGATTCCTTTCCCTTTGTTAGGTGCTTTGACTGGTACTTAAGAGTTGAATTATGCTTGGTAAGTGAATTTCCTTCGCTAGGTCAAGGACACTTTGTGAACACGCTACATGGGATTTCATCAGACCCAAGAAAAGAACGACAGTTTGTTGAAAGATATAGTACCGCATCTATGACTGTATATAGAATTTTTCGCTATTTTTCTTTCTTTGTATGAATAAGTTGCTCAATGTCGTGATCGATGCCTCGCCACGATTTCATTTACTGTACTCGAATTTTCCACTTAATCATGCACCTCTGTGGATTCCAGACACTTCACGCTCAGTTAATCTTGCTAAAACTTTTCTCCAATTAATGAATCCTGTTGTATGGTGTAACGGCAGTACCACGTTTCTAATAAATCTTGTATGGTGTACAAAAAATTGCATTTTTGTTATATGAATGTAATTTTGAATATGTAAACCAAGATCTAAGCTTTTCAGTACTTACTAATGTTCTGTATTACATGTCAAATATCTGACATCACGTTTAATGGGATTGAGGTTTACGTTTTACCGGATGATTACCGGCTAATAATACTGATTGACTGCTTAAGAAAGATTGTTGGTGACCGTTCATTTTTTTCTATGACCAGGCAATTGCATGCGTCCAACAAATCAATAATTTTTAGCTTTTCGTCTTTCTGCTGCCCGCCCCAGTGGCATAGCTAGGGTGGGTGCAAGGGGGAACATCCATCCCCGGGCGCAGCATCCAGGGGGCGCCAAATTGATGATACACATTTCAGAATGAAATGCTTTCCATTCTTGAAACACAGAAAGGGGCGCAAAATCTTTAGATGTCCCCGGGCACTGAAAACCTCAGCTACGCCTCTGGGCCGCCCCAACTAAATGAAGAGATCTTTATATCATGGTTTCACGTCCTCCAGCTATTCGTTTGATGTCGATGAAGAAGGTTGTTCTTTCAAATGCTGACTTGTAGACTGTTGGTTGTGCAAATTGCAAGAAATATTAATATCCTCTAGAATCTCAGCATAATTGGAACTGCGGCAGGATCTGACGATTTGCTTCTTCCATGAAGTTATCTTTTCATCTTAGCTGAAATTTGTTTTCTCTGTTTGGTCGTTGTCTCGTTTTCTGCATTCTGCTTTTCTCCCCCTTGGCGCGCAGATGATTTCTTTTAATCTAAATGAAATTCACAATGAATTTGCCTTAATAACTAAGAATTGACATAATTACACTGAACAGTCCTAAATAAAGGGTTGCATCTTGTTAAATATAGTGCTGGCTATTAAAAGCAAGCATATCTTTAAAAAAAAAACACAAAAATTTAAAAAAAAGATTACATCATTTTTTCTCGATTACAGAAGAGCTCGCTCAGTTTTTTTTTATTGCTGTTGTTGTTAGTAGTAAGTCTGAAAAAGTTGTCTAAAATATTAATTAGAAATTTCTTTAAAAAAAAAAAAAAATGAAAGTAGTAAATCTAGCTTTAAAATCCAAAATGCGATCTGCTGTTCCGAGTCAAACCAAAGGTGAGCCTAAGTTGGTGACTAGCTGCAAAAAAATCTAAATGCTTTGCTTCATCTTGAAGACATAATGCCTGTGTCTTGTATATACTCGACAAATATTAATTTGAATTATTTCATTTGTCCAGGATGGCCCAAGGTTAATTTTTGGGGTAAGCTCTTAAAAAATAGTTACAATGCTTCTCCATTTTCCAGCAGACGTTGCTATGGGAACCAGACGACTTCTTCAACAAGCTATCGTTCTATTTCTTATTTGAATACACCTGGCCCAGACAGCAAATGATATAGGGACTCCAGCTCCAGATGTTACTGATAAGGTCAGTCTGATTCTATCAGTGACGCCTGGAGTCCCTCTATTGGCCTCTTTCTGACCTTATAGTTGTAATTGGCTGTACTTAACTTTATTTTAACTCATGTTCCTTTAAAAGGGTTCTTAGTATTTAATTATAAATCTTCTTAAAAGAGGTTTTTTAAACTTGGCCTTAAAACTATTAACATTGTACTAAAATTAGAGAGCTGTTTTAGCGAACAACATACCAAAACGATCCAGCATTATATTTGAATTTGCCGCCCTGGGCAAGAACCTCGGCCTGCCCCCCCCCCATTAGATCCGGGACTGCATGGTGATGATTATAGATTTTTAAATGCTCTAAGAAATGTTGACGAGGAAAAATTCAACAAAAATTTCTTTTCATATGCTAAAAATAGATTTTGTTAATGAAACTCATAGGCCAAAAGATTACATTTAGTGCTATTTTAATTAAGAAAAAAATTAAGAAAATCTGAAAGGTTTCAGATTTTAAATTACGTCCAAAGGGGCTTTTTTTTAACGTTTTGTGTGTTATTTTTAAATATCATGTTCTTCACACTTAAACCATAAATTTCAGTTCAATAGCAATGTTGCAAAATAATTTTAAAATGAGCCTATCTTTAGAATTTCTGATAGACAGTTCCACATGCTGGAGATAAAAAGGTCCCCCCTCCCCCGGTAGATTGTTGCTATTGCTCGCTTTCAAATCTTTGAGTTCGTTACTCAAAAATTCGTTAAAGTTTTACAAAATATGAAATCGAAAATAAAATTCCAAATCTGAAATGTGGGCTTCCACATACCCATATTTGCTATAGGATTGCGTCATTCAAAATTCGATGGCTGTATGTACCGTTGTTTTATCACAATGCGAGAAATATACATACATTTATGCAGATTTACCATTATTTAATTTCTTCAAATATAATGCAGGACTATAAAATTTGGTGGCAACAGTTTGAAAAGTGAAACGGACATTTATAGTGATTCAACGCAAAATCGCAAAACAAAAACAATAGTCCTTGAGGGTCAAATCCCCTTTGGACTAATAATTGCTATGTTATTCACCGTAAACCCAGAAGCGGCAGCAGAATATGTCGACACAGGATGGCAGAATTTAGGAAAGACGAAATTTTTGGAATTTAGGGAAAGCACGGAGCGGCAAAATAAAGGGATGAAAGGTTTTTATGATTTAGGGAAAGCACTGGGATCCAAAGTTTAGGCACGGTGAAAATTTAGAACTTAAGAAAGCTTTTTGTAGCTGAACTTAGGACCCGTAGAGACTGCACCAGGTGGTATCGAGCGCCGGCCCTAGATAAAGCCTTAAGTATATGTGGGAGTTATTTATTCAGGACTCGGATTAGTTTGAAGCATGCGCAAGAAATAAATGTAGGTATAGTAAATAACTAATACAGTTCAGGCTTAATTTAGTACGCAATAGAAGCAAGACATAATTTAGCGAAACAACTTGGCTTTCTTCGCCAAACTTGTTATACACAGCCAATAATGTACAACAGACACTATTAAGCTAGGGTAAAATTATGTTTACTGATTCTAAGGCATTTCAATAGCAGACTGCGCTGCTCCCTGATCTTCTAATTTGATCTAGCTTATTATTTTTTGAAGACTGTTATCATAACAGCAATTTTATAAAAACTCAGCTTGAACTTTCGTTTATGTTGAAAAAAGTTGCCAGAGGATCTACAAAAGAAACCATGTTTCGTTGTCCATTAAACAAAAAGTGGAATTGCTGCAAAAAGTGGATAAAGGCATATTCGTCTCCAAATTATGCTGGGAGTATGGCATTGGAAAGTCCACTATATATGACACAAGAAAAAAGAAAAAGGAACTTTTTGAATTTTTTGTGGAAGCATCTTAAACAACTTAGCTTGAAAGAAATGTTTAATAAAGTAAACAAATAAATATTAAGCTTTTTTTTTTTTTTTTTTTTTGTAAATTTGATACCCTTTAGATCATAATTGTTCTTTATTTCATAAATTATGATTTCATATTTTTAATTGTATAATTTCTGCATGCCATCTTACCAGATTTAAATTGATGATCTATTATCCGGAATCGTCGAAGTCCCGACCAGTCCGGATTTCGGACTTCGTACTGTATTAGATTCTTAGATTTATTTTTTGAATTTTAGTTTTGCAAATAAATCTTTATGTATGCAAACCAATATGTATTTAATTGTGGGGGAAAATGTACTGATAATGTCATTGATATTTCAGTCAGGTTGCCGACCTGATTTGGTCAGTTTTCCTAAGGAGGTTGCTGAAGCTCAAGGAGCCATAAGAAAAATAAATGCAACAATCTGGAGTAAAAAATCTGCTTTTGATATTAAAGAGGATGCAACAACCAGTAAAGTAATGAATTTTGAAGAACATAAATCTGCAGATGCTTATGGTGGAAGGAAGCAGGGACTTATACGCATTGACAGACAAAGCACTCCGCCCTCAACATACGCCATTCCTGGAGAATTCCTTGAAGGTTACTCTCAGTGCAAGGAAGTTAGTATATTTTTCTACTAAAATTAGCATGTGTATTGTGTATTTAATATTTTAAATATTTTAAGAATTTGATTTATTCAGCTAAGATCGCTGAAAATCCAAGATTATATAAATTTCTGTATATTTATTTTAAAACTAAAATTATGGTAATATATGAATCGTGAAGAAATTTTATGAAATGTGTTGAAAATTCCCATTATGCCAATAATTTATCTTAATGTCTTCAAAATATTTTATATAAGAAATGTCTAATCATCCCTTGCAATAGTGCAGATCTGCCGGCGATGTTACTTGCTACCAGGATGCTGTTAATCGGCCAAGTAGGGATTAATGATCATTAAGCTGGCCTTTGATGGATGATGGCAGTCATTTGATATTTTTAAGAACATCTGGCTATGACTTAATTTTTCAGGGAAACATGCAGTTTTTATTTTAAAATAATTTGAGTTTCATCTATTTCCTTTAATGTTTCTTTGATTTGGACAGTGAATATCTACGTATCTTTATTCCTAAATCAAGCATGCTGGTAATGTTAGTATAGTATCTAGGCTTGTTAAAATGACCATTCCATTACAACGACTCATTAAGTCGTAAAATCTCCTGAATTGTGGGATTTTCATAAAAGAGTCACAGTTGTCGAGAATATTAAATCAGTTTTTGCGATCCTGATCATTCATTATTATGTACTTACTTTTCTGTGTGTTGCAATAGGTTAAAATATATTTGCAACTATTTTAAATACCTTATTAATGGTACTGAATAAGATTTTATTGTCAGTATTAGTAATCCTTAACCTAAGCTAGCATACACTTTTTATTTACGAGAAAATTTGATATGTGGCGATAGTGCAAAATCACTTTCATAAAACAGGAATTCTGAGAGTTCTAGCAAAGAAATTCCTATAGTTCTTCTTTGAAGTTCTTTGCTAGTGAACTGCAGGTGGTCCTGACCATCTGTACCTTACCATCCTATTTTTCCACCTTTCCCACGTGCTTGTTTGCCTCGAGAAACTTAGAACATATCTTACAGTAAACTTGAGCACCAGCTTGTCATCAAATACTGTTAATGATCTTTATCAGTAATGATTTGAAAGTGTTCATCTGACAAGGAATCAAAACAAATATCTCAGCTTATTTTGTTTTGTATTCAAATTTGCTTTCATTTGAAATTTTGATGTGCATAACATAGTGGTACAGCTTTTTTTATATAATATATCTAAGGGTCCTTATCGTAGTATGTTCATATTTCATAGATGCCATTTTTTGTTTAAAGTATAAACATGTAAATGTTATTCAGCATAAGAGAGTGCTTATGGTCCCTCAAAAGCTTTGGGCAGCAGCATACCTTGCGTACACTTATTTATGCCAATGGGCGGGATGTTTAGAACCTCATTGTTCGAAGTTCCACTTTCATGTTTTCATGTCCATGTATTTTCCTGTAACAAACTGAATTTGCATGTCCAGCATTGTTTACTAGGACATGCTATGAGAATTACTTAATTAAGTAACTGTTCAACATAATGACCTCCTTTAAGAAGCCTTCTGTAATCATATAGAAGCTGTAGTTACATTTAACAGAAAATCATGATTGAATCCTTATACATGCCGTGGTGCATTCTGAAGTTAATTTTCAACTCAGAAGCTTCAAAATCATACCAACAGAATGGCTGTTTTGAATTTCGTAAACTTTTGCACTATGATCTAAGGCAGATAACCATATTCTTTCTGTGTCTGAAGTAAGAGCCATGTATCTAAGAGATGTAAAGGTATTGTAGTACGTGGTTGCTTGAATTTACTGAAAGTTTTTGGAGTTATTGTTAAATTGACTAAATATACTGTAAAAAAAGTTAGCTTTAAATGTGTTCTTGGCCCATAGATGGCACCACTGTTTTATATACTTCTGTAACTATGCAAACCAATAAAACTTCACTTGACCTCAGTTTACTTTCTGCGCCCTTTGTGCAATCACTTGATGACAGCCGGAACAAATTGTGCATTTTGGTTGATAATCACAGCAAAAGAGGAACTTGGAATTCACTTGTGTTCCAAACTCCCAACACATATGTTGTGTGTTATTTATTCTCATGCATGTAAGTAACCACTCTCTGCTATATTGTGTTTTTAATATCTCCTAACAGAATTTTCAGTGTCAGATTATGTAGCTACAGCTAAATAAATTAACTATCCAATTAAGGATTGGTACATTTTTTTTTTTTTTTGTTTACATTTTCATTTTCTTTGGCAATGTTTGATGATTTCAATAGTTTAATGTTAGGGTTTAACTGTATTGATATAGGCTGATGTTCTTGCATATTGTATTTAGCCGAAAGGTTTTTTTATGTACTGAATTTATCTAATTTATACATTTTTATTTTGTTCTATGTTAATGCCTTAATATTGTTTTATTTTATCCAAATCTCACATTTCAAAAGTTTTGCTCAGAGTCTTCTTAATGTGTATCGTGGATGATTTGCTTTTAGTTAGAATTATTAAATTATATATATATATATATATATACAGTCAAAAGTCGTTAATCCGGACGTCCGTAATCCGGAATGATTTATAATCTGTACCTCAAAGCTACAAACTTTCTGCGCATGCGTAAAAGCATAATGCGTTTATGCATGTGCATATGCATTTACGCATGCACATAATACCTTTACGCATGAGCGTGTAATGTATAACGGATGGTATAAGCTAAGCTAAAATTATCTAATTATCTATTTCAGTTAATGTTGCAGATTGTGTCGTTACTTAATCTTCAAATTGGATCTGGCTTATTATTTTTTGCAGACTGTTAGAGCAATTTTATAAAAGTGAGTTTGAAAAGAATTTTCGATTCTGGAGCTGCCAAAGGATCTACAAAGCGAAACCATGTTTCGATGTCCATCAAACAAAAAGTGGAATTGCTGCAAAAAATGGATAAAGGTATATCCTTTGTTTATCTAACCATTCCAAAATCTGTTTATCAATTTCAAGCTGCTCTGCGGGGTTGGGAGGGGGGAACGCCGCAGGGCACAATGAACTGGAAGTTGATCTGTCAGCACTATCCTCATCTTCAGGGCAGATGTTTTTATTTTATTCAGCTTATAATTTCTTACTAAATGTAATATTTCATCTCGATGTACTCTGTCTTTGATATGATTTAATTATTCTAATTATAATTTGTCATTATAAATATCACGAATACATATCAAATAGTTTTCTGGTTGCAATTTTCTAATTTCGACTATGCGTAATGTATGCTTTACGCATGCGCGCGTTGAAAGAAATGTTTAATAATGTAAGCAAATAAATATTAAGCTTTTTTTTGTAAATTTTGATACCTTTTAGATCATAATTGCTCTTTATTTCATAAATTACGGTTTCATATTTTTAATTTTATAATTTCTGCGTGCCATCTTACCAGATTTAAATTGATGGTCTATAATCCTGAAAAACCGATAATCCGGAATCGCCGAAGTCCCGACGAGTACGGATTAAAGACTTTTGACTTTAACACTTTTTTAAGAAAGTGTATTTCTCTTTTATTCTACTTTTTATTTTTACCTTGGCATTCCCCAATTTTAAAAACATTTTCATGCCAAGTGTAAGTAAAACTATATTATTTTGTGTCACTTCTTTATTTTACTTAATTTTTTTTTTATTTCATAGTAAAAGACTGGTGAAAAATAACATTATTTTATTCATATTTAGTTTTACTGGCACGTTATTATTTCTCATTTTTATACAGTCAAAAGTCTTTAATCCGGACTTGTCGGGACTTCGGCGATTCCGGATTATCGGTTTTTCCGGATTATAGATCATCAGTTTAAATCTGGTAAGATGGCATGCAGAAATTATAAAATTTAAAATATGAAACCGCAATTTATGAAATAAAGAGGAATTATGATCTAAAGGGTATCAAAATTTACAAAAAAAAAGCTTAATATTTATTTGTTTTCTTTATTGAACATTTCTTTCAACGTGCGCATGCGTAAAGCATACATTACGCATAGTCGAAATTAGAATATTGCAACCAGAAAACTATTTGATGTGTATTCGTGATATTTATAATGATGAGGAATTTGATTTAAATCGTATCAAAGACCGAGTACATCGAGATGAAATACTACATTTAGTAAGAAATTATAAGCCAAATAAAATAAAAACATCTGCCTTGAAAATAAAGATAGTGCTGACAGATCAACTTCCATTTCATTGCGCGCTGTGTCGTCTCCCCCCCCCCACAGAGCAGTGTGAAATTGATAAGCCTATTTCAGAATGGTTAAAGAATCAAAGGATATGCCTTTATCCATTTTTTGCAGCAATTCCAATTTTTCTTTGATGGACATCGAAACATGCTTTCGCTTTGTAGATCCTTTGGTAGCTCCAGAATCGGAAATTCTTTTTGACATAATCGAAAGTTCAAGCTTACTTTTTATAAAATTGCTCTAACAGTCTGCAAAAAATAATAAGCCGGATTCAATTAAAAGATTAAGGAACTACGCAATCTGCAACATTAGCTGAAATAGATAATTTTAGCTTAGCTTATACCGTCCATTATACATTAAACACGCTTGCGTAAACATACTATGCGCATGCGTAGACACATATGCACATGCGTAAAGGTATTATGCACATGCATTAACGCATTATGCATTGACGCATGCGCAGAAAGTTTGTAGCTTTGAGGTCCGGATTATAGATCATTCCGGAGTATGGACGTCCGGATTAAAGACTTTTGATTGTATTAACTATGCTGATTAATTGTGTACCATGAAAACATAAAGAGAACAAACAGTCATAAATGATTTTTAAAATGTTCTCTGAATGTTTCATTCTGTAATAGTTTTCTATTTATTTTTTATACTCTTAATCTCTGTGTATATTTTATTGTTCAGAATTTTTCTTAAATCTGAAAAGTTAAAACTTTTCTTATTTTCCTGATAGGAACATGAAGTTGCTTCCTCTGACAACAGAACATATAATACGAAAATGACTACATCTGCTAGACGAACAGGCTGTGATAATTTAAAGTTACATAAAGAAATTAAAGCGTGTGATGAAAAGATTCTTTGTTCTGGTAAAACAGGCATGGTTTCAAAAACTGAAGCTGATATTAAAAATCCAAATATGAAACATCTTGATTTCAAAGGTAAGAAAAATAGTTATATGAATTCAACAGAAGAATCAAATAATAGCAATGGTGAGATTAATACTGACAAACCGGGCAGTTGCATAAATGAAAAGAAATTTACTGACTTGTCTGAAAGCAGTAGATTGAAACCTTGTGTAGAAGTTTTAAGCAAAGCTGATAAAGAAAAAATTGAAAGTTTGAAAAATATGAATTTAGAGTACCGTTTTTCTCTGAGTAGTGAAGAAGAAGACTTGGAAGAATGTATTAAATTTTTAAAAAGTACTGAAGGGTCCAATATTGGAAAACAAACAAATATCTGTGTAAAAAATGAAGTTTATAATGGTGATGCATCAACTTGGAAGAAATTTCGCAGTTCTTATATAAGTGCAGTTAAGATGAATGAAGATTGTTCTTCTGAAATTACTGATGTGCATTCAGCTGAAAAAAATTCGTCCAAAGGTACCTTTTATTGTTTCATTTTAGCCATTATTTGCATTCTAATTAGTCAGTTAATTATTTTAAACTATTGATTTAATATTACCCAATGATTAAAATTGTTGAAGAGACTTGATTTTATAAAACTTTTATTTATCTATTATTATCATAGTTAATATTTTAATTATTCAGACAGTGGTCATGGGATATTTATAAACATTTTAAATCTGTAATTATGTGTGTTACTTTATTTGTGTATTATGTAATTTACATCCCAAAACTATCCTTATACTTTTTGTGTATGTTCAATGAAGGATTTTTCAATGGTTATAAGCAGAGCTTATTTTGTGAAAAATACAGAAGCCCTTTATAAAAGCAACCATAAATATTTAAATAATTTAATGAAATAAAATATAAAAAGTAGTTGACATAATTGAAAGAAATAAATTTTTAATGAAATGAAGAAGAAAGCAGTAAACTGATTATAAAAAATAATGTTGAGTCTTAAGGAAAATATAAGTACAGCTATGGCTCAATTTTCACTGCCTCAGTTGATATCAATTTCATTTTTATGCCTGATGTCAATCTTAACAGAAGGAAGTGTTCGCTTTACTTGATTCAGAATCCTGGCATCATTATAAAATTTATATTGTAAAGAAATCGAATAATAAATGTTAAGCTTGGGCTTAAAGTTCTGAACATAAGAGTCATTTGTGAGTCATAGTGAAGAACTTTAAACAGAAGAGATTTGCTTTGGAACTATCCAATGAAAATCTAGCAATAAATGTTACTCTGCAGCCCAGTTAGAATTCTTAATAATGAAATCAATGTTAGAAGATGTTACATTTTAGTAAAGAATGGAAAATTTTTAATAATTAACCCTAACTGGGAACATTAATTTTAGTTCTACCTTTAAAAAAAGTAGAATTCAGTTGTTCTACAGCCAAATTGAAGCTGATTATCAGAAAAGATGAAGACCAGACAAGCATCTCTTCTATCATTTATAATGAAATGTATTTAATATTACATAATTTTTAATACATAAATTTCAAAAATAAAAATTTTCAAGCATTTGTGTTGTTCATTGGAAGTCTTGATACATAAACAACATCTACTTGCATATGATCTCATTATATGTTTGATTCAGTGTACATTGCTTCCTTTTATGCCAGAATCTCAGAAGCTATGGTTTGGTGTAAATTGAGTCATTCCTGTATTTTTGCATATCATATTTATTTTATGTAAACACAATGTGAATTTTATATTAGAATAATTATATTTAAAAATATATATTTAGTCTTAATTTTAGAACGTTGACTATATTAATGTAAATGTCAATTAGCAATTGATTCTTTTTAATATTACCGTGAACAGTCTAGGTGATTCAACAACCTTTTAAGTTTGGCCCTTTATAATGATATTTTGTGGAAAGTTATTTATTCCTTTTGGCGCAGGCATTGCTGAAGTGATTACTTTTCTATTATAATTGTCTTAAAAATACATAAAGAACATCTTTGACATTTTTATATGGTATGTATAGAGTTGTCTGCTATAAATTTGGTCAGATGAAAAAAAATATATGAACTTTTCTATATACAAAAATTCTAAGTTGGTAGAAATAGAATAACTTCAGAGCTGATCTTTATTTACTGTCTGGCTGTATTACTTTGACATAATTATTTAACTGGAATATTTAATTATGGCTGAATACACTAAGGGAGGGATACATTATAGAGGACTTTCTGATAGATACTGATTCATATTTATGTTACATGTATAATTATGTTTATATGGGGGAAACATAAAAAAGCATTTGCAGTGACCCTGTTCAGTTCCCCCTGTTGCAGTTCCTCATTAGAAAACATAAGGAAAGCTAGGAGTTTTTCATGGCTTTAACAATTCAGCCATTGTTAAACGATAGTTAATTAATTAATTAACAGTACTTTCACAATGATTAATATGAAAATGGGGGAAGAAGTCCAGTTATCCTTGAACTCAAAAACAGTTCGCTTCCAAATTTAGTTAGACTTTCAGCGTAAATTTTTGAGGGGAGGGAAATATAATGCTAATTGAATTAATCTCTTCTAGATTCCCAAACGATATACGTATTATAAAACATTTTAAGTACCTATTGCAATAAAATGCAAAGTAAATTTCAATTATCGAATTGGCAAGTAAATTTCATTCATTGAATGCTTTTTATGTGTAATAGTGCATAATAAAAATATTATACCATAATTCAATCAATACTATTAGTAGAATGGGTGTTACTGATCATTCAAAAAAAATTACCCTTCATTCATCAAGAATCTACTAATTGTAAGTTATGATTTGTTAATATTAGCACCATTTTATTTTTGTTTGGGGAAGAAAATATTTGATCTCAGGTTTAGCATATAATCCTTATGCAATGGAATGCAGTGAAATGGCAAAATCATCTCCAGCCATGTTTGGAAATGTTTCTTTATGTAAAATTTCTTCAAATTAGAGATAATGTATTAGATCCATAGTGCTAATGAGAGGAATGTGTTGGGAGCATGAAATTCACATAAATAAAACCAAATTTTATACTTAACACTTATGCACTTTTAGATGATGCACAAGTACATTTCCTGTATCACATGGGATATATTTTAGATTTGTCATACAGTAATAAGCATTGTTTTCACTTATTTTATGGATACTATGACTTTCCTGTTGCGTTTTTCACTGCTGATATAAGGTTTTTTCCCCTGCCTTATTGCATACCTTCATGCTGTAATTGGGAGCACATCTGGCTAGTACTCAGTAGGTCCAAAGTTTGAATCCTGATGAAGGCACTACTTTTCTCATTTTCTTGTTCCTAAAAATTTTAATGGCTGTACATGTGGGGCTGGATCTAAAAGATGCTGCTATAAATTATAGTTTGCCACCACCAAGATTGAGTTTCATCTTCCGCAGTTACTCTCTAAGTGGGAGAAGAATGTAAGGTTTTTCTCTCGCTTTATTGCATGCCTTCGTTGAGTAATTGGAAGCATGGCTTGCTAGCAGTTGGAAGGTCTAACATTTGAATACTGGTGAGGGCATCGCTGATTTTCTCATATTTTCTGTTTGTAAAAATTGAGTAATCTCTACACTGGTAATTTTCTTTGGTGCCATTGTAAATAGATATTATTAAGAATAATATAATAATAATTATTATTGTCTTACATACTCTGCCTTAATGTTTACCCCTTCTGTATGAGGTGAAAAGTGGGCTTACATCTGCAGCTCCTCTGAGAGGAGTTTAGAAGTCATACTTGGCTGCAACACCCCTGGAATCCCACCAGTGGCCTAGCTAGGGACAGTCAAAGGGGCAGATCTGCATTAAGGCACAGTATCCAAAAAATTTTAGAATGAAATATTTTCATTGTCAGCAAGCAATGTGTGAAATCTTCATTTGTTTCCGGGCACTGAAAACCCTAGCTACAGCTCTGGACCCCACTCCAAAGATGGCAGACTTTAAATTAAACTCTCTCTCTTCACATCCAATGCTGAATTACCTTTCCAAAATCAGCTCTCCTGGGAGCATGGACACCATGATTGGTGTGGGGAGTATTGAAACCATAAATGGCTATGGCGCTACCTACTCTGATGATATATGCCACTATCCTCCAGGACAGCATAGGGTGTCCTTTTGGGCAGTAGGGATGGGTTGATTATTTTATGCCCTCAAATGAAGGCTGTCATAGTGACAATGACAAATGAGCCAGTATGATCAACTCCAGAGGGAAAGGATAATGTAAAGATAGCAAAGAAACATTTTTAAGAAGAAGTAATGTCCAAGATGTTTCATAGCTCAAATCATGTGAGACTTGACCCCAATCACTGCACATATGTCCAAGGAGATAAGGCAGTCGTTATTTTTCATTTGAGTTTCAAATTAGAACCTGCTGAAATTTTTGTTCGGATTTAAGATTGTTTAAATGTTAAACTACTTGAAGGATCTACCTTTTTTAAAAAACAAAGATTTTTCTATTTTCTTTCTGACTATAATGCATAAAATAGACCTAAAGGTTAGGAACATTTTTACAGAAAAGTTAGTTTAAAGCATCACATGATAAGCAAAAAGATAAAAAATTCACATTCTGTTATCCTAAGTTTCTTTATCTTGTTGAAAATGAAAAATCAGTTTCAGATATAGACGCTTCTTTTGTAATATAATCTTGAAAATCACTTTGCTGGAGAAGAGAATTTTACCCTCTCTGCTGATTGTTAAAACTTCATTGCATGTTGAATATCATTTCATCCCATAACTTCTATGGATCATTTTTAAATTTATTTACAGAAGAAAGCGTAGTTATAGGCATAGTAATATTAATAGAAAAAATAAAACCCTCTATATCTGCAACAGAAATTACAAACACAGTGAGGTTAATAGTAAAGGTAGTGTAATAAGTAGCTATTAATACTTTATATAGTTTAGGTTCTTTCTATGATTAAAGAGCTTCTTTACAATGTCTACAGATCAAATGTGAAGTATCATCATAAAATGTGGTATTGAGTTTTATTAATAAAGGACCTTTTACCTATTGTAATAACTGTGCTTGAAGTAAGAAAGCAAAAAGAAGTATGTTTTAATAGTATAATTCACATCTCGTACAAATTTCTTATAATCATCAAATAATTAAAAAAGATTTGATTGCTAGCTTCAAGTGATTTCTAAAGTTACATTATGAGATTGGTTCTTAGTTTCTGGTAATTTATTTGTTCAATAAATGTTACTTCGTTATTTTACTTTCTTTCAGCATTTATGTAAACAAGTACATGTTAAAAAGAAAATTAGAGAGAAGAAATTTGCAACATATTTTTCAGTTAAAAGGAAAATCCTTTCTCTGGATACTTTTTGATAGAATATCTTAATATTTGAAGTGATCAAATTAAACCAAATATTTAAGGCAATTTCGTAACTTAAATAGATAATTTTAGCTTAGTTTATACCGTCCGCTATACATTAAACACACATGTACAAACGTATTATGCGCATGCGTAAAGGTTTATATGCG